TCTCAACAAAATGGTCTAACAGGTGATCTTCGCATGCTATTTGTTCTTTAGCAGACAACATCAACGATAATTTTCAATTCCATGATTGACCAGAATTGACGCAGGCAACAGAAGAGGCAAGATCAAGCTGATAACATAAAGAATCACAAGGAAATATTCGACAAATCGGGCTAGGCGGTGCCTAGGCGCTAGGCGGCCGCCTAGGCGGCCTGGGCGGCTCTATGGAATATAAAATTAGTTTCTTTAGGTTTTTCTATTTTCTTTTTTGTAATTAAACAATATCTTTGCTTTATTTTAATTACTTTTATTAGTAATTATTTAATTATTATTTCTTTAGTGAACAATTAGTATTAAATATTTTAATTAAATTCATAAATTACATTACTTAATAAATAGTAATTATTATGTTTTAATATTTTTCGGACTTTAATTTTCATAGGGATTTTTTTATTTTTTTATTTTTGGAATAGCTAATTAATTAATATTTTTAATTGAATAATATCTTTAGTCTTATTTGATCAATATAATTACTAATTAGCTTTTACTTATTATTTGTTTCATAAATTACTTATCAAATAGTAATTAATTTTTATGAATTATTTGTGCTCTTAAAAACCAAGAAAGTGGTTGCAACATAGTAGTATATATCACAAAAGAACCAATACATACATATAGTATACTTGATTGATTGGTTTGTAGTGGTTACATGTCCTCAAAATACGCAATTGATGAGTTCTATTCGATAAAATATGCTGTCTATAGTTTTGGTGGATTGGTGGTAGAGATACTGAGTGGGAAGAGAAACATAGGATTTACTCATTGCTTTTTTTTGTTTCTTCTTTTAACTAAGCACAATGATTTTGAACTTTTGATAAATTCTTTTAGGCATGGATGTTATACACAGAAGGCTGGTCCATTGAAGTGCTTGATACATCAATAGGAGACTCAGGTGATCCACATGAAGTTTGAGATTATCTCATGCATGTAGGTCTTTTATGTGTGCAACGTAACCTGAGAAATAGGCCGAGCATGCCAATTATAGTTCTAGTGCTAAGTGGTGAAGGGTCATTGCATCAACCTCTAAAACCTTGTTCTTATAGTGAAAGGGATCTCAATGAACTCGAATTTGGTAATTCTTTTAAAGAATTATCAACAAATGAACGCAAGTGATTCATATTTGGGGCAAAGATTCATGAAGTTCCAAATTGTGTAAGGAAGGATCTCCTAAAATGCCACTGCAATGTGCATGTGCTATAAGGGTATGCAATTACAGTCACTTTAAAAAAAAAGAAAAAAAAAAAAGGAACATCTAGCGCCCATATACTAGTTTTTTATAATAATTAAAAAAAACCTTAGTATAGCCGTTCGGCTATACTATTTATTAAAAAATATATATTAAAAAGACCCTTCAATTTGCATTAGTTTATACTTTATAGTTACTAGCCTCTTCGCACATGCTCACACATGTGCCAATTGGTTTTATTTTTCATTTTTTATTTTATTTTTAGAATTAAGAAAATATAACATAGGTAGTTATGTTCCATAATAGTAGGGTTTAGTATCTGATTTTGTTTTTAATTTTAATTTTTATAAATGTAAAAAAATATGAATTTACCATATTATCCTCATTTAATTAATAATTTCAATTCTTAATGTTTGAATTAACCAAGGGCATTTTCTGGTATTTTGAATGTTTCACCATTCTCTGCCTCTTACTTTATATATATAGATTAATTTACTAGTTTCGATATATATACTTTATAGATTTAATTTTGTAATATATATTATTTTGTGTGTGTATAATACATGAATTTTATGTGTATTATTGACAATTTTGTAAAAAAATCAAGTGTACTAAACATGAAAAATACATACGTACGTGTAAAATACGAGTATTAAACATGAAAATGCTAAATTTTTTATATGGCTAATAACTTTGGAAAAGTAAAAACTCAAAAAGGTACAATAAAGACTCATGTAAAGGCCTAATAATAATGGATAATGGTCTAAACGATCGATAAACAAAAATCGGGGAAAAAATATAATAGTATCCATATAGAGAGTATAGCAGAGCGGCTATACTATTTATTAGAAAAAATAAAAAACGACCACTATATAGCCGCGCGGCCATACTATTTTCAGTAGAAAAGTTCAAATCTTGCTCAAAACTAAGCACCACAAGATGCTAGAGAAAATGACCATGAGATTCTAGAGGTACATTAAGGATAAAATAGGATGTTTATTTATATTTGAAGTATCAGTGTGACGTCAAACGACAGTGTTTTAGACTATCAGTTAACAATATCTTCACATAAAAAATAAAACAAAGAATCTGAACTCCATAAGAATGCTAAGAAACATAGAAAAGGCTTTTACTGTCACTTAACATCAATTGTAGGAGACTTAATGGAGCCAAAAGGATACATATCTCCAAGGACACCCAGACTGCTGTTGCCTATTGTATTCATACTCACAGTAGATATTGCCAGGTTAGGGAAAACTTCGAAAGGGTGCTATAGTTGTCACTTAAACTCAACTGTAAGAGTCTCTCCTTGGAGTCAGAAGGATCTACATATCTCCAAAAGAATGCCAGACTGCTTCCCATTATATTCATAATCACAGCAGACAATGTTGCGGGTAATGCAACTATCGGCGTGGTGAAATGAGAAGTGGCCAAAACCACACCCAAAGAAGAATTTTGCATACCAACCTGCGAGTGTCAATCATGTAAATGAAGGATTAGTGTTGCATGCCCACCAAAATTTATGAAAGTTTCGACATTTCAATCTCAGCATAAAACAATGAAGATCTTCTATGAACTTACAATAAAGTTTAAGAAGAGAATTTTTATATCTTTATTACCAATTTGACCAAAGCCGAAACAAAACTAGAACACAAGGATTCACAAAAAGCCAGATCATGTCTAAAGGTTTACATTCTATTTGATTAATACCTCAATTGATATTGCTCGTCTTCGTGCTTCTCTAAACCCGCAAACAGCTGCTGATATATACCTGCACATTAAGACTCTCCTTGATCAAAAAAGACTCCTCAAGTTGCACATTTGCACCGCAAAAACTCCAAAACAAACTAAACAATCAGGCCCAACACCACAACCTTAAAGAATATTTGTATGAGTGCAAACTCTGCCAACAATGCTCGTATACAAAGCTAGCTTCTATCTTCACATGTCAAATTAAAATCCACATAGACAAAGAAGATTATATTGAATATATACTTTCTTACTGCAATAGCTTTTATGGCTATGAAGTCATAATGACAGCAAACTATAGTTTCTCAACTGTTGCTTACAAATTATGAATACTTTGTTTTTTCAAAGTACAGTTAACTTCAATCTATAATTTATATATCAAACTTGACATAAGCTAAATCAAACAACAATAATACACTAATACAAGGCTACAACGTAATTTTTTTTAGAATTTTTGAGCTAAAATTAGAGTGAATCTTTACACACTGAAAAAAAATGTATACATTACTACCTTGAGCTTTTTCCACAACAACACACTTAACAATTAAAGTCACCAACAGTTAAAGGCAACTTACCCCACAAAAAAACCAGCAATATGTACTAACAGCACAGAAAGAATAACCACCCCCAACTTCTCCAGATAACACTGTCTGAGCATGAGCCATTAAAGACAGATCAGCCGGCAATGTTACAGCAACCATTGAAGCTTTGAGACAGACAACATTCTCAGAGAATACACTGGCCCACAAAATAAAATCTAGTATGTTTGAGAAAGAGAGCACATTTGGAAGGAACCACAGGCAAGACAATCATATTTTACACATAAGTAATTAAAGATATTTATATGCACAACAAATGTACCTGCATGCAAGCAGTGATGCAGCTAGAACAGCAAAAAGTGGTGCAAAAGGTATCACAATTTATTTTAGAATTAAAAAAGATAATGGGTAGTTGTGTTCCATAAAAATAGGATTCATTATCTTATTTTTCTTTTAATTTTAATTTTTTTTAATATGAAAAAGTGTGAATTTACCATATTATCCTCATTTAATTAATAATTTTAATTTTTAATGTTTAGATTTACCAAGGACATTTTAAGGTATTTTGAATGTTTCACCGTTCTCTACCTTTTAGTTTAGATATACTAGCCCCTTGGCACATGCGAATTGATTTTCCTTTTTAATTTTAATTTTAATTTTTAGAATTAAGAAAAGATAACATAGGTAGTTATGTTCCATAAAAGTAGGACATATTATCTGATTTTGTTTTTAATTTTAATTTTTTTAATATGAAAAAAATGTGAATTTACCATATTATCCTCATTTAATTAATAATTTCAATTCTTAATGTTTGAATTAACCAAGGGTATTTTATAATATTTTGAATGTTTCACCATTATCTGGCTTTTGCTTTATATATAGAAGATATAGATAAATATATATATATATATATATATATTTAAAGAGTGGCCGATCGGCTATACTATTTATTAAAAAATAAAAATAAAAAAAGGGACCCCAATACAGCCGGCCAGCTAGCTACACTCTTTAAATATTATATTTAAAGGTATAGCCGCGCGGCTATACTATTTTTTTTTTCCGAAAAAGAGGACTCGCCTAGCCCCTAGGAACTGATTCTCGTTTCTTAGGCATGCCATAATTTTGAACTCATACTCGTTTCTTTTGCTTGATCATTTAAGCTTATGTGTAACATACACAAAGTTTAAATTATATTTCTTCATGTAGTGTGGTTAATATGTTGCTGCATGACACTCCTTTGTTGTTTTCTTGACTTTGAAGTTCCTTTCAAGGGGCTTTTTACACTTTCAAAGAATTTGTGACATAACAATTTCTAAGTCTTTGCATTCTATCAAAAGTTTTTCTCATTGGAACAGTTTTTAATTTGTGACATAACCATGCTAACAGCTGACAGCTAAGCTAACCAACCTGCTAACCGTTGACAGCAAAGCTAACCAACCTCCTAACAATGTTAACAGCTCTAACCAACTCTAACCATTGGGTAAACACCCCCTCTCAATCTCAGTCAGGGTGCCTAAACTGAGATTGGTACAATGCTTAACAAATACTGGACTATGAAGCCCCTTAGTAAGAACATCTGCCACCTGCTCATCAGTAGGAAAGTAGTGCACTAAGAAGTCTTTGCGTTGTACACATTCTCGAACAAAATGGAAGTCGACATCCAAATGTTTGATGCGAGAATGGAACCCGGGATTAGAGCTGAGAGCTAACGCAGACATGTTATCACAAAACAACAGAGGAGGATCTGGGAGAAAGACATGAAGATCTGCAAGTATCTGACGAATCCAAGCAACCTCTGCTGAAGCATTAGCAAGAGCACGGTATTCAGCTTCAGTGGAGCTACGGGAGACAGACCCCTGCTTCTTAGACTGCCATGAAATTGGATTGGAACCCAAGAAGACAACAAATCCTGTGGTTGATCGTCGAGTGGTAATATCCCCAGCCCAATCTGCATCACTATATGCAGACACAGAAACTGGAACAGACGAAGAGTAAGTAAGACCACTGGGCTGAAGGTTTCATCGTAGTCAAAGCCAGCCTCTTGACTAAACCCCTGTGCCACCAGTCGAGCTTTATAGCGAGAAACTGTCCCATCTGAATTTCTTTTGATCTTGTAAATCCACTAGCCAACAATATTTGTATTAGCAGGGCGAGGGACTAGACACCATGCACCCTGCATTGTTAAGGCAAAAATCTCTTCCTCCATAGCCTTAATCCAGGCATGAGAGAAAGAAGCCACACGAAATGTAGAAGGCTCATCAAGAGTAGTAGAGTCATGCATATAAGTAAAACACTGATAATCCTCGAAAGACTTCTTCTGACACAGACCAGATTTGGACCTGGTAGTCATTGGATGGATGTTCCGAGAAGAAGGGAGACTGGAAGAAGAACCAGAATTGACATGTTCAAGATAAAACAACCTCAAGCTCAACACGAGAGACGCATGAGAAAGCAAAAGGAAGACATGCGTTGCCTCTCTTTTCTCTTATTTATGTTTAGAAACCACACTACTTCTACTTGTTACAATATTGATCATGAGTGCAGCAGTCGCTGGCAGACACCACCCCCTGACGATATCATGGAGATAATTCAACAACGCTTGAATTTAATCTGTCCGCAAGTCTTGGCGATCAGTTGCTATGCGAAGAGACATCCCCAGTGCTCCTCAACTCCCCTGGTTAGTACTCCCTCAACCCCCAAAATGCGACGAGTACTTGAGTTGTCAGCAATTTCATATTAACTGATTATGTACTATCATCTTCAAATATCAGCATCTATTTCTATCATTTGGAATAATGAGGTCATCATATTTTGTTTGGCCTGGGTGATCATTATAGTTTATAAATAAACTACCATTTGCAAACCAGTGATCTATAACCAATATCCAAAAAGAAATTCATGCACAAGAACCAATTGATCATCATATGAATTCCCAGAGTTAAGTAGCTTAGATGGTGAGGACGTAATACAGTTAATGTCTCCTTCCACTGCCACTGACGTTCAGATAAAGGAAGAAGACGCTGCAATTGACAACTGCCATTCCCACTTGTCAATGAAATGTTTAGCAATTGACGCTCTCCACTCCAATGCTTGTCTTCCGCCCCTACTTATGCCGTCACTTAGAGCATGATCTAGTTCAGTTATAAACTTATAGTTGAAGGAAGACAGCGATGTAATATCAAGTAGTTCCCCGTGAAAGATACAACTAATTTGTTCCCTCTTCACGTGTTAGATCAGTTTGCTCCGAAGCACATGTGTAATGTGATTCAGAATAGCTCCAAGGCGAGGCACAATGAGCCAAATTGAGAGAAAGATCATCCATATTTAAAAGCGAACTTATGACATTCATCATCATGATCTGCATCATTACAGAAAGCATTATAAAATAATTACAAGGAAAGAACAGGGAAAAAGATGCAGCAAACTAATAAAACTGATGATATATATCACAAACATATTGAGAGCATTTACATTTGAAAGGAAAACATGAAACTTCACCAGTCATACCACATGTGCATAAGTTCAATATGCTGCATCCTACCATATAATAAAATAGAACAGAGAAACGCGAAACCATCAACATGTGAAGAAAAACATGTCAAATCCCAAAATGACAAAAAATATGAAATACATTGAGTGCAAAATTCGTTTGCAGATCTAATTTAAGGGTTGGAGAAATCCATTTTTGGGATTGGGCCATAATTCTCCCTTGGATGCATAACGCACGCACGCACAACAAAAAAGACTCCCACAAACTTGCGCGTTACACATAATATGATAGTATTATTATATTAACGTATCAAAACTAACATAAATATTATATTAGCTTCTCTTGGGGCGTGTTTGTTAAAGCATTCCAAAGACTACTTTGGTGTAAGTCATGTTGATTGGACAGAGTTTTGGGTTGAATGTAATCTGATTTCATATGTCGTGTCATGATTGTTGGTCTGATTTCGATGGTTTTCTACAAGATATCTTTGAAGACGAAAAGAACAAAGAAATAGTTTTCCTTTCTCTGTTTTCTTTCTAGCCCATCTTTCATGTAGGTTTTCTTTCTCTGTTTTGAATAAGATACTGTTTTCCTTGTAAAAACAACAAAGAAATAGACCAGAACAAGATTATTTTGAGGATTTTGAGGACTTACCCGAAGTGGACTTTGATTTCCAGTACGAAATTCTCAACAAAATGGTCTAACAGGTGATCTTCGCATGCCATTTGTTCTTTAGCAGACAACATCAACGATAATTTTCAATTCCATGATTGACCAGAATTGACGCAGGCAACAGAAGAGGCAAGATCAAGCTGATAACATAAAGAATCACAAGGAAATTTTCGACAAATCGGGCTAGGCGGTGCCTAGGCGCTAGGTGGCCGCCTAGGCGGCCTGGGCGGCTCTATGGAATATAAAATTAGTTTCTTTAGGTTTTTCTATTTTCTTTTTTGTAATTAAACAATATCTTTGCTTTATTTTAATTACTTTTATTAGTAATTATTTAATTATTATTTCTTTAGTGAACAATTAGTATTAAATATTTTAATTAAATTCATAAATTACATTACTTAATAAATAGTAATTATTATGTTTTAATATTTTTCGGACTTTAATTTTCATAGGGATTTTTATTTTTTTTTATTTTTGGAATAGCTAATTAATTAATATTTTTAATTGAATAATATCTTTAGTCTTATTTGATCAATATAATTACTAATTAGCTTTTACTTATTATTTGTTTCATAAATTACTTATCAAATAGCAATTAATTTTTATGAATTATTAGTGCTCTTAAAAACCAAGAAAGTGGTTGCAACATAGTAGTATATATCACAAAAGAACCAATACATACATATAGTATACTTGATTGACTGGTTTGTAGTGGTTACATGTCCTCAAAATACGCAATTGATGAGTTCTATTCGATAAATATGCTGTCTATAGTTTTGGTGGATTGGTGGTAGAGATATTGAATGGGAAGAGAAACATAGGATTTACTTATTGCTTTTTTTTGTTTCTTCTTTTAACTAAGCACAATGATTTTGAACTTTTGATAAATTCTTTTAGGCATGGATGCTATACACAGAAGGCTGGTCCATTGAAGTTCTTGATACATCAATAGGAGACTCAGGTGATCCACATGAAGTTTGAGATTATCTCATGCATGTAGGTCTTTTATGTGTGCAGCGTAACCTGAGAGATAGGCCGAGCATGCCAATTATAGTTCTAGTGCTAAGTGGTGAAGGGTCATTGCCTCAACCTCAAAAACCTTGTTCTTATAGTGAAAGGGATCTCAATGAACTCGAATTTGGTAATTCTTTTAAAGCATTTTCAACAAATGAACGCAAGTGCTTCATATTTGGGGCAAAGATTCATGAAGTTCCAAATTGTGTGAGGAAGGATCTCCTAAAATGCCACTGCAATGTGCATGTGCTATAAGGGTATGCAATTACAGTCACTTCAAAAAAAAAAAAGAAGGAACATCTAGCGCCCATATACTAGTTTTTTATAATAATAGTATAGCCGTGCGGCTATACTATTTATTAAAAAAAAATTAAAAAGACCCTTCAATTTGCACTAGTTTATACTTTATAGATACTAGCCCCTTGGCACATGGCACAAGCTCACACATGTGCCAATTGGTTTTCTTTTTTATTTTTTATTTTATTTTAGAATTAAGAAAATATAACATAAGTAGTTATGTTCCATAATAGTAGGGCTTAGTATCTGTTTTTGTTTTTAATTTTAATTTTTTTAAATATGAAAAATGTGAATGTACCATAGTATCCTCATTTAATTAATAATTTTAATTCTTAATGTTTGAATTAACTAAAGACATTTTCTGGTATTTTGAATGTTTCACCATTCTCTGCCTTTTTCTTTATATATATAGAAGGTATAGATAAATATATGTATATTTAAAAAGTGGCCGATCGGTTATACTATTTATTAAAAAATAAAAATAAAAAAAGGGACCCCAGTACAGCCGGCCAGCTAGCTACACTCTTTAAATATATTATATAAAGGTATAGCCGCGCGGCTATACTATTTTATTTTTTCCGAAACAGAGGACTCGCCTAGCCCCGAGGAACTGATTCTCGTTTCATAGGCATGCCATAATTTTGAACTCATACTCGTTTCTTTTGCTTGATCTTTTAAGCTTATGTGTAACATACACAAAGTTTAAGTTATATTTCTTCATGTAGTGTGGTTAATATGTTGCTGCATGACATTCCTTTGTTGTTTTCTTGACTTTGAAGTTCCTTTCAAGGGGCTTTTTACACTTTCAAGGAATTTGTGACATAACAATTTCTAAGTCTTTGCATTCTATCAAAAGTTTTTCTCATTGGAACAATTTTTAACTTGTAACTTTTTGGTTGACTTGTCTCACATAAGATCGAAGTTCTTAGTTATGATGACAGTATGGAGCTGTGCTTCTTTTGGGCATTAGTTCGAAAGCCTTTTATCCATCTATTGATGATGGTTTCTATACTACGATTGGAGAAGGATCAGGAGCAGGTTACAACATTAATTATTAATGTCCCCAGGGAAAATGGTCAGTGTGGGGATGCAGATATATTTTGCAGTTTGGGACCATATTTTGGTTCCTGGAATTGCAGCCAATAACACACCCTTCCTTCCCTTAAAAAAAATAAATAAATAAGGGCAATTCCAGAAAAACATGCTCTCCAAAACCAGATAATTTATGCATAAAACTTCATAGAAACTAAAGTATATTTCTCATAAATAAGAACACCTACAATAGTTACCTTCAGAAAGTAAGATATCAGCAATTTCATATTAACTGATTGTGTACTATCATCTTCAAATATCAGCATCTATTTCTATCTTTTGGAATAATGAGGTCATCATATTTTGTTTGGCATGGGTGATCATTATAGTTTATAATCGTCATAAACTACCATTTTCTTATAGGATAAGCTACCATTTGCAAACCAGTGATCTATAACAAATATCCAAAAAGCAATTCATGCACAAGAACCAATTGATCATCATATAAATTCCCAAAGAAGAAAATGCTTGTAACTCGCAGGTTAAGTAGCTTAGATGGTGCGGGACGTAATACAGTTAATGCCTCTTTCCACTGCCACTGGCGTTCAGATAATGAAAGAAGATGCTGCAAAATCGACAACTGCCATTCCCACTCGTCAATGAAATGTTTAGCAATTGACGCTCTCCACTCCAATGCTTGTTTCCACCCCCACTTACGCCAGCATGATCTAGTTCAGTTATAAACTTATAGTTGAAGGAAGACAGTGATGTAATATGTCAAGTAGTTCCCTGTGAAAGATACAACTAATTTGTTTCCTTCTTCACGTGTTAGATCAGTTTGCTCTGATGCACATGTGTAATGTGATTCGGAATAGCTCCAAGGTGAGGCACAATGAGCCAAATTGAGAGAAAGATCATCCATATTTAAAAGCGAACTTATGACATTCTCCATCATGATCTGCATCATCCGAAGCATTATAAAATAATTACAATGAAGAACAGGAAGAAAGATGCAGCAAACTAATAAAACTGATGATATATATCACAAACAAATAGAGAGCATTTACATTTCAAAGGAAAACATGAAACTTCACCAGTCATGGTCCTTCATCACTCCAACCGCAAGAACAGCTAAATCCAGAGCATACCACATGTGCATAAGTTCAATATGCTGCATCTTACCATATAATAAAATAGAACAGAGAAACGCAAAACCATCAACATGTGAAGAAAAGCATGTCAAATCCCAAAATGACAAAAATATGAAATACATTGAGTTCAAAATTCGTTTACAGATCTAATTTAAGGGTTTGAGAAATCCATTTTTGGGATTGGGCCATAATTCTCCCTTGGATGCATAACGCACACACACACAACAAAAAAGACTCCCACAAACTTGCGAGTTACAACACAATATGATAGTATTATTATATTAACGTATCAAAACTAACAGAAATATTATATTAACTTCTCTTTGGGCGTGTTTGTTAAAGCATTCCAAAGACTACTTTGGTGTAACTCATGTTGATTGGACAGAGTTTGGGCTGAATGTAATCTGATTTCATATGTCATGTCATGATTGTTGGTCTGATTTTGATGGTTTTCTACAAGATATCTTGAAGACGAAAAGAACAAAGAAATAGTTTTCCCATCTTTGTTTTCTTTCTAGCCCATCTTTCATGTAGGTTTTCTTTCTCTGTTTTGAGTAAGATACAGTTTTCCTTGTAAAAACAACAAAGAAATAGACCAGAACAAGATTATTTTGAGGATTTTGAGGACTTACCCGAAGTGGACTTTGATTTCCAGTACGAAATTCTCAACAAAATGGTCTAACAGGTGATCTTCGCATGCCATTTGTTCTTTAGCAGACAACATCAACGATAATTTTCAATTCCATGATTGACCAGAATTGACGCAGGCAACAGAAGAGGCAAGATCAAGCTGATAACATAAAGAATCACAAGGAAATTTTCGACAAATCGGGCTAGGCGGTGCCTAGGCGCTAGGCGGCCGCCTAGGCGGCCTGGGCGGCTCTATGGAATATAAAATTAGTTTCTTTAGGTTTTTCTATTTTCTTTTTTGTAATTCAACAATATCTTTGCTTTATTTTAATTACTTTTATTAGTAATTATTTAATTATTATTTCTTTAGTGAACAATTAGTATTAAATATTTTAATTAAATTCATAAATTACATTACTTAATAAATAGTAATTATTATGTTTTAATATTTTTCGGACTTTAATTTTCATAGGGATTTTTTTGTTTTGTTTTTGGAATAGCTAATTAATTAATATTTTTAATTGAATAATATCTTTAGTCTTATTTGATCAATATAATTACTAATTAGCTTTTACTTATTATTTGTTTCATAAATTACTTATCAAATAGTAATTAATTTTTATGAATTATGTGTGCTCTTAAAAACCGAGAAAGTGGTTGCAACATAGTAAGTACATATCACAAAAGATACGCAATTGATGGGTTCTATTCGATAAAATCCAATATCTATAGTTTTGGTGGGTTGGTGGTAGAGATACCGAGTGGGAAGAGAAACATGGGATTTACTCATTGCTTTTTTTTGTTTCTTCTTTTAACCAAGCACAATGATTTTGTACTTTTGATAAATTCTTTTAGGCATGGATGCTATACACAGAAGGCTGGTCAATTGAAGTGCTTGATACATCAATAGGGGACTCAGGTGATCCACATGAAGTTGTGAGATTATTTCATGCATGTAGGTCTTTAATGTGTGCAGCGTAACCCGAGAGATAGGCCAAGCATGCAAGTTACAGTTCTAATGCTAAGTGGTGAAGGGTCATTGCCTCAACCTCAAAAACCTTGTTCTTATAGTGAAAGGGATCTCAATGAACTCGAAGTCGGTCATTCTTTTAAAGCATGTTCAACAAATGAACGCAAGTGCTTTAGATTTGGGGCAAAGATTCATGAAGTTCCAAATTGCGTGAGGAAGGATCTCCTAAAATGCCGCTGCAATGTGCACGTGTTATAAGGTATGCAATTACAGTCACTTCAATCATATGCACTTAACGAGTTAGTGATAGGAGAAACCAGTCTAGAATTTTCAAATTCTTTAGAGAGCATGTGTTTTTTGTGATTTTTGACCTTTGTGTGATATTTACTATTTGTAGTCCTAGATGGCTATTTCAACTTTAAAGACTATTTTGAATCTCTATGTGATACTGTGGACTGTGGTAATGACTTCTATTTGTTTTGAAAGCTATTTAGAAGCTCAGGTAATTATATCTGTTTACTTGGCGGTCCCAACTCAAAGCATATATATACAGTTTGAGTTTGGTGTTGTATAACTTATTGAGAAGACTTGGGGAATTGAACCATGCATATTCCCTTCTAATGGCTAGCTCACCTTACCTTCACCCTCATCCACACACTAGTAGTAACATTTTACAAATTGAATCAATGGTCAATAAGCTTTCCAATAACATATTTGTTCTAGCTAAGTAACTGTGAGCCTTTGACAATGAGAGGGTACTAAAGAGACAGATACTACTACTTGTGTGTGTGGATTCGTGGCACCAAATTTTTGACACAAGTTTTGAAACAAGTTCTTGACCATAGGAGTCATCATTAGGCCCGCGAGCCCATGGACTGTTGGGGCCCCGCACAGCCCATCGAGAAAAAGCCTCTCCCGGCCTGGCTTGTTGTTGAGTGGGCCGAGCTTGGGCTTAGGTGTCTAAAACTCAAGCCGGCCCACAAGCTTGGCCCATTTGAGCCCAAGAAAGCTCGGTCCGGCCCACCCATAAAAGCCCAGCCCACGGGCTCACATACATATAAATATATATATATATATATAACCGTAGTATATCCGTGCGGCTACACTATTTATTAAAAAAGGACCTTCTATTTGCATTAGTTTATACTTTATAGATATTAATTTGCTAGTTTCAATATATATATACATACTTTGTAGATTTAAATTTTTTAATATATGTTATTTTTATTGAAAATTTTGTAAAAAATCAAGTGTATTAGACATGAAAAATACATGTGTAAAATACGAGTATTAAACATAAAAATGCTAAAATTTTTATACGGCTAATAACTCTAGAAAAGTAAAAACTCAAAATGGTACAATAGAGACCCATGTAAAGGCCTAATAGTAATGGAAAATGCTCTAAACTATCGATAAACAAAAATTGGGGAAAAAAGATAATAGTATCCATGTAAAGAGTATAGCCGAGCGGCTATAATTAAATTAAAAAAAGGCCCCAGTATAGCCGCGCGGCTATACGATTGTCAGTAGGAGAGCTCAAATCTAGCTCAAAACTAAGCAACACAAGATCCTAGAGAAAAAGACCATGCGATTGCAGAGGTACATAACATATTAATGATAAAATAGGATACTTATTTATATTTGAAGTACCAGTGTGACCACAAACGACATTGTTTTAGACTATTAGTTAACAATATCTTCACATAAAAAAATAAAACAAAGAATCTGAACTCCATAAGTATGCCAAGAAACTTGGAAAAGGCTTTTACTGTCGCTAAACATCAACTATAGGAGACTTAATGGAGCCAAAAGGATACATATCTCCAAGGACACCCAAACTTCAACTGTAGGAGACTTCATGGAGCCAAAAGGATACATATCTCCAAGGACACCCAAACTGCTGCTGCCCATTGTATTCATACTCACAGCAGATATTGCCGGGTTAGGGAAAACTTCGAAAGGGTGCTATAGTTGTCACTTAACCTCAACTGTAGGAGTCTCCTTGGAGTCAGAAGGATCTACATATCTCCAAAAGAATGCCAGATTGCTTCCCATTATATTCATAATCACAGCAGGCAGTGCTGCGGGTAATGCAACCATCGGCGAGGTGAAATGAGAAGTGGCCAAAACCACACCCAAAGAAGAATTTTGCATACCAACCTGCGAGTGTCAAGCATGTAAATGAAGGATTAGTGTTGCATGCGCACCAAAATTTATGAAAGTTTCGACATTTCAATCTCGGCATAAAACAATGAAGATCTTCTATGGACTTACAATAAAGTTTAAGAAGAGAATTTTTATATCTTTATTACCAATTTGACCAAAGTCGAAACAAAACTGGAACACAAGGATTCACAGAATGCCAGATCATGTCTTAAGGTTTACATTCTATTTGAATAATACCTCAATTGATATTGCTCGTCTTTGTGCTTCTCTAAACCCGCAAACAGCTGCTGATATATACTTGCAAATTAAGACTCTCCTTGATCAAAAAAGACTCCTCAAGTTGCACATTGGCACCGCAAAAACTCCAAAACAAACTAAACAAACAGGCCCAACACCACAACCTTAAAGAATATTTGTATGAGTGCAAACTTTGCCAACAATGCTCGTATACAAAACTAGCTTCTATCTTCATATGTCAGATTCTTACTGCAATAGCTTTTATGGCTATGAAGTCATAATGACAGCAAACTATAGTTTCTCAACTGTTGCTTACAAATTATGAATACTCTGTTTTTTCAAAGTATGGTTAACTTCACTCTATAATTTATATATCAAACTTGACAGAAACTAAATCAAACAGCAATAATACACTAATACAAGGCTTCAACGTAATTATTTTAGAATTTTTGAGCTAAAATTAGAGTGAATCTTTACATACTGAAAAAAATGTATACATTACCTTGAGCTTTTTCCACAACAACACACTTAAACAATTAAAGTCACTAAGAGTTAAAGGCAACTTACCCCACAAAGAAACCAAGCAATATGTACTAACAGCACAGAAAGAATAACCACCCCAACTTCTCCAAACAACACTGTTTGAGCATGAGCCATTAGAGACAGATCATCCGGCATTGTTACAACAACCATTGAAGCTTTAAGACGGACAACATTCTCAGAGAATACACTGGCCCACAAAATAAAATCTAGTATGTTTGAGAAAGAGAGCACATTTGGAAGGAATCACAGGCAAGACAATCATATTTTACATATAAGTAATTAAAAAGATATTTATATGCACAACAAATGTACCTGCATGCAAGCAGTGATGCAGCTAGAACAGCAAAAAGTGGTGCAAAAGGTATCACAATTTTAACCACTGCAGGAAATGCACTCTGCATATAAGAACCTAACAAATTGGAGCAACAACAACCTACAGATGACAGAATAGAGACCATAAGCCCCAACTGATGGATAATATAATATTACTGAAGTTTATTATATTTAACTTAACCTGCATGGTTCTGATTGACAGTTTGGCAGCATCCACAGGGACGTATCTTTGTTAGTAGAGGAGTCATGGCTACTGCCCCAAGAGTTGTGCATTCCGTCATTACAATAGACAGAGGAACATCCCCTTGAGCAACTAAGGTCACCTGAAAGGCTATTTCATAAAAAGCATTGAATGGAGTTGAATAAATAGGCTAGGCGGGGACTAGGCGGGCACTAGGCGGGCAAGGAGGGCTAGGCGGGCGCTGGCGCCTAGAAGAAAAAAAATCGTCATTTTGGAACTCCAAGGTCTCAGACGAGATGACGATGGTGTTATGAGGCGAGAGAGAGAGAAAGAGAGAGAAACGAGGATTGAAGAAGAAGAGAGGTTGCGAGTTATGTTTAGGGTTTTAAAAAAGGGCCTGGGAGAGAGAAAAGGGCATGAGCTTCATAAAATACAACATTAAATGGATTTTGCATTATGAATTCACTAAAGTAATCACTAATAAGTAACAAATAACAAATAAATATTTTAATATTTTAAATCAAAAAAATATTATACTATTTGTTTAATATATAATTTATATATCCTTTTATTTTTCATGATTTTGGTATAAATTTATAATTTATAATACTAAATAATTTATTACAAAAAGCATAGGCACTCGCAGGCTCCGATTACTCCTCTAGATGCTAAGCCCTTGCCTACCTCCACCTTACTACATAGTGATTTTTCAAACATTGGGATCAACATGTTGGTAAATCGAGGTGTACCAGAACTTCAATTTACAACCCTGCAATTTTAACTGACTCCAGTTCCCTTCTGTTTGTGTTCATAATTAACTAAAAATTAGTTGCATTGCATGACGTTTAGATTTAACTTTTCTGGTATAATTTTTCTCAAGACTACAAACAAAGAAGCAATTTTGGTCAGTTCTCAATTGATTGTGCATTGGCTATATGTCTCCGGAGTATGCCATGGGTGGGATGTTTTGCAATTGGAGATTATTAGTGGCAAAAAGGATACCAGCTTCTATTCCAGTGACCAACATATAGGCTTCCTAGCTTATATGTAAGCTCACACTCTAAATCTTAATGCAAAATTGTATCTTTCATACAGCTTAAGCAACCTATATGAAGCTAAATGCAGCAGCTTAAGCAACCTATATGAAGCTAAATGCAGCAGAGTTTAACAACATACATGAAATTTTGTCATGCATGGCACTCATGGAATGAAGGCAGGGGTTTGGAGTTGGTTGGTGAAGTATTGGCAGGTTCATTTTCACCTTCAGAATCTCATGGATTTCTTGAAACCCAAAGGCATTGCATATGCATGGGTCAAGTTTCAGATTGGCAAGCACATGGAATTGCATACAATTATATTGGATTTTTGCCTTAGTTTAGGTGCACATTGATGTGCCCATTTTTTTCACAAACATGATCCAATTGGTATTTGGTATAACGAACACAAGCAACATATACAAGTTTTGGCATGCAGCTAGCACACCAAATTCACAAAACGTAAGTGGGGATAAAGGGAACCAAGGTCCCAAGAAGGAGTTGTCCAAAAGATGCAACTCCCCACACAAAACTCTCGTCTGGGGACTTGGGGGATTTCTATTTGTAAGGTAAAATACCTCTTGGTCGAGTTGGGCTAAAGTACAAATGACCGAGCTGAGCTTGGGTCCAGGTGGTCGGGTTGAGCTCGATATCAATGGACAAGCTAGGCTTAAGCCTTGGGCGGGATGTCTCCGGAATATGAATGCATGATAACTTTTTTAGAGTTCCAACTATTCACATTTTTTTTAATAAAAAATTTCAGAGAAATATTTATCACAATGAGTCTAGCATAATAAGGAATAGGCTAGGAGATTGTATAAATTTCAGTTTGTGTTTAGGTTTAAAGTATTAATACAACATGTACAATATGGAGAATTGGAGAAAATTTCAAACCACACCATTTATAATATGATTCATATTCCTCCTCAAATAAAAATATAATCTATCATAAAACATATAATTTTTTCTTTTATTAAAAAAAAACATAAACTACATTTGACTGTATATATAGCCAGTTAATGAATTGGTAATTGCATAAGCAAGAACCTAAGGTATATAAATATCCCCTCAACAAGAGCCTTGATTAACTTACCTAGGAGAAAAGTATCCTAAACGTGAAGGGAATGGTAAAAGTGAAAGTTTATCGCTTTCATTCAACTCGTTGTTTACAGTTGCCTCATAATTATCTTCCTGTTTTTTAGAATAAAGGGCATAAGGAGAATTGTTCATGATCCTGCAAAAACATAAGTCATGTGTAAAGTGCTATGTAAATTGATCAATTATAATCAAATATCTTATGTGTTTTGAAAAAAAATCAAATATTTTGTGCCTTAAGACTAAAGAAATAGAAACCATGTTAATCTTAAATTTTTTCTAGGGCTACAATGAAAGGGCAAACTCTAGCTATTGATGCCAATCAATTTTTGCTTCATTATACGGTTAAAAAAACCTCGATCTCCTTTTATATTTTTTTCCTTTCTTTCCTTCTATTATTTTTTCTTTTGTCAAACAGTAAAAAAAATTGTTGACCATCAATTCTTTAGGCAGGTAAGTGGTCATGGGGGAATGATGGAGAAGAAAATGGGTGGTTGCGGCGGTCATGGGTTCGTGGGGGTGGGCCGGGGGGGAGGGGGTTTGTCTGTGGGATTCCTCAATTTGGAAAAATATAATTAAATATGTCATAATTTGCAAAGTTTGCTCCTTATTAACTGCCCCAAAATTGAAGCCAATGGAAACTTCTCTTATTAGGACAGAGACATAAGCCTTAACCATCAGAGAAATAACTTAAGCTAAAATCCCATGGATCTAGTTTCATCATCTGCTTCTAACTATCCTCATTGCTCTTGAGAGCCCTCCATTAATGAACAAGTTAAAATCTTGTGTCCAAAAACCCTTAAGGTTACCAAAAGATGCCCCTCCACAAAGCCAATGGCTCACAAAAACTCCATCTCAAAGAAGGACAAGCATTTTGTATAACTTTTTCATCAGATTATATTTCGAGAGAGCATTATAGGGATCCATGGAATGAAGTTAGAATTGGGAGATTGCTGCAAGACCTTGATGCCTTGGCTACTACGATATCGGTCAAGGTATTTATTATGTCACCTTCTTATTAAAATTGGACTAAAATTGTAACCTTCATCACCACAAAATAGTAATTCGTAATTGATCATCTGTTAAATTTCTGGTGGATGATCAGCATTGTTCCGATGATGGTAGCAAAACACGGCCGCTCTTTCTGGTCACGGCTGCTGTTGATAAGATTGTCCTGAAGAAGCCGCTAAGTGTCAGCATTGATATGAAAATTGTAGGTAATGTCATCTGGGTTGGGAGGTCATCAATTGAAATCCAACTGGAAGTCACTCAACCCTCTCAATGTACATCAATATAATTATTTAATTGTACTATATTTATTGATCGCATCTTTCGCAGAGGTGGTCAACAACGTAGTAAGTTCCTACATGTGTAATGTACTAGAATTACTCTTTTTGTGCACAACTATACAAGTAATTGGTTTTTTTTATACAGAGGACCCTGAGGATGATTCAGACTCAGTGGCTCTTACAGCCACATTCATATGTGTGGCCATTGACTCAAAGACAGGGGAAGCAGTACCAGTGAACCGTATTTTGCCCGAAACTAAGCAAGAAAAGGCTCTTTTAGAAGAAACCGAAGCACAAAACAGCTTGAGGAAAAGCAAGAGAGGAAAAGAGTTGGTGAATGGAGAGGTACTAATCACCAAAAATAGAGTAGAAGCAATGTTGGCTGAGGGATGGATCTTCAACAACATCCCATCCTTCTCATGAGGGAAAGCCGCCTCGAAAGCTCTCTGATATGCCAGCCACAGCACAGGAACATGCATGGTCGAGTCTTTGGAGGGTTTCTGATGCACCGGGCTTTCGAATTGGCTTTCTCAACAGCTTATGCTTTTGCTGGTTTGGTGCCTTGCTTTTCAGAAGTTGATCACATTGAGTTCTTAAAACCTGTGAGTGTCTATTATATTGCATGATGGCATATAAAGTAGGTTCCTTTCCCACCCAATTTTAGTCACACATGCTCTAAGTATTTAGCTCATTCGTACCACACTCACGTGATGGGACGTGTTGAGAGAATATGACTAAAAACCTTGCGTCCCGTATTCTAAGTTTTGAATATCAATGTATATTAAAATTCATGGTTTGTATGCCTTAATTTTGAGCTGCAGGTGGATGTGGGAGACTTCCTCCGTTTCAAGACATGTGTTCTATACAAAAAACCAGAGGATCCTGAACAACCTCTGATCCACGTTGAAGTTGTTGCTCATGTTACAAGCCCAGAGAAGAGGTCTGCTGAGGTAAGTACTTAAGCAATTAATATTTAAGCTGCTTAATTTTTTACCTATCAGAAACCCAGTCAGTTAGCTAGATATCTACTTGGCTACATTACATGCTTCTTTCTTATTTAAGAATTTGGAAGCTTCAGGTATCAAATACATTCTATTTCTCTTTCACTGTTCGTCCTGAGGCAAAGGTCACGATGAAGAAGGACCTCAAAATCAAGAATGTGATCCCAGAAACAGAGGAAGAAGCTCGACCTATGGTTGGACTCAAAAAAAAGAGGCAACAGCTAGATGGTGAATATATATAGAATAAAGAAATCAAAGTAGTCGTCTGCCTTATGTTATATAATCTGTAACGGTGAGGCCAACCGAATAGCTAGCGGGTGTCATAACCTGTTTTGATTGGCAGCGTACAATACCTCAATCAACTTGTGTCAAATTAATGTATTGTAAGTTGTGACTGAGATTCTGCTTATAATATAAACTGGTTTTTGTCTTTCTAGTGAAACCAAAATGTTAAAATAATATTTAAAAAAGTGTGTAAAAGTTGACAAAATTAGTTGAAATGGAAAGAAATTCCATATGCTTGTATGGCAGAATCAGATTTTTAAGACTTATCGTACCCTTCGAGAGAATAGACCAATACACCATCTCTCTAGTGGCGTCTTATCTTGGTGAAAGGTCAAATTTAAGCTGTTAGGAAATTGACCAAGAATGTTAATCGAGCTTACAATCGTATTTATTCCTCATGGAGTCTCATATAGACCAGAAAAATTTGTATGAAACATTATTTCCGACCAATTACAGTTTGTTATGTGAAAAAATTATCACAAGTGGCATATCGTGATTGACCGGGTGATAGCCCCGTTTGATGTAAATGTTTCCCATGTTGACCATGCAAATGGCAAATGCACTCGTTTGAACTTAACAAATTCTCATCAATATTATATCACTCATAGTCAAATAAAAATTGGGAATGCTACAAACGTCAAAAGCGACTCGTCGTTGTGCTGAGCAAGTCTTGTCGTTCAAACATTCATCCCACTTTCGTGGAAAATCTGCAAAGAATAATCAAAAGCCCCCATCGTCTTCTCCGAATGACCTGCCAGTTCTCCGCTTTGAATATGATCAAAAGCAAGCAAGGTCACAACTTCAATTATAAAAGCAACGCTGACTTCTTTAAAATTAAAACCCACCAAACTTGTAACCACCAAAATTAAACAAAACCGGTTTAAAACCCACAAGCCACACCTGAAAATTTCCCAGAAACCCAATTCTCAAAACCCCCCAAAATCCCATGGACTTGAATTCCTCTCCTCCCAATTCCAATTCCAACACCGCCATTCCCGTCGTCTCAACCTTTTCATCGCCTTTCGAGAACCGGCCTTCGGCACAAGATGGGCCCAACGGTTGGACCCGAAAGCCCATAAGCTTGTGGCCCGGAATGTACCAGTCGCCGGTGACAAATGCACTGTGGGAAGCGAGGTCTAAGATCTTCGAGAGGTTCTTTTTGGACCCTCCGAAAGACGCTCCTCCACAGAGCGAGTTGCTCAACAAGACTCCAGCGCAGAGCAGGACCACAATTCTGTACAATTTCTCGTCGGATTATATATTGAGGGAGCAGTACAGGGATCCTTGGAATGAGGTTAGAATTGGGAAATTGCTTGAGGACCTTGATGCTTTAGCGGGAACCATTTCTGTCAAGGTACAGTTTTTTTTTAGTCTTTAGTGTAATTGGATATGTGGTTTGTGCTTGAAATTTGATTACTTGAACTGGGTTGTGATTGGTTTGGTTGAATTGCAGTTTCAATGTGTATGCCTGAGCTTTCGAACCTAACATTGTTAGGAACTTTCTGGTTTTAATTTTTTGATTGTGAACTTGAGGTTTGGTAATGAGTGATATGTCTTGTATGGTATTTTTCCGCTGTTGTGTTCAACTTTTTGGCTGAATCCTAGTTTTCAGGAATGAGATTTTTTCACAGATAGCATTATGCTATGGAGCTGCCATAATCTGGAATGCTTTTTCTTTAAGAGAGAGAGCACTGAATTGGTACTCTTTGCATATGTATAATTATGATGCAAAGGGGGGGTGGGGAAGCCGAGTGGTGGTCATGTGCAGTGATCTAAGCTAGAAAAAAAATTGTCTTTTAAAGAGACCTGATAATTATGAGCTGAGTTGCTAGCTTATTTCATGTTAAAAGTAAATTTCTCCAAGGTGGAATTTCTTGTTTGTGCTTTTCTTTTAGCGAAGTGAGCGACTTAAATTTTATACCTTTGTATGGATCAGCACTGTTCTGACGATGATAGCACAACAAGGCCACTCTTGCTGGTCACTGCATCTGTTGACAAGATTGTTCTGAAGAAGCCGATTAGTGTTGATATTGATCTAAAAATAGTTGGTGCTGTCATATGGGTTGGGCGATCATCTATTGAGATTCAATTAGAAGTCACCCAGTCCTCTAAAGGTACTTATAACCTTGAAGTTTGGTAATGTTTCAAAGTTCAATTAAATTCTTTTTTCCCAGAATTTCCCTCTATAAAGTGTGCTATTCTTTAAAATATATCCGTTGATGAGTATTAAAATTGCTTATCATCAATGTTTTTTTCCTTATAATTTGAGTTTAATGGAAAGTAAGCTTTACAATTTGCCTCTGTTTAGCGTAATCTTTACCTTGAAACTAAAACCCACAAGAACTACCGAGTGACTGTTATAAGAAGTTCGAACTATGACCAATATTGTCAACTTAAAAGAAAAAAGAGAAGGGATATTGATATTATCTGCCTGCTCATCTAGTGGTGTTGCCTTTGAAGTTTTGCTTCTCTTCATGTGAAGGGAAGGGCTTAATGCTATGACCGAGCAGACTTGCATAAGTGATTTTATTTTTTATTTTTTCAGAAGGATCTGACAATTCAGACTCAGTAGCTCTTTCAGCAAACTTCATATTTGTGGCTCGTGATTCTAAAACTGGGAAAGCTGCTCCAGTTAATAGGATCTCACCAGAAACTGAAAGAGAAAAATTGCTTTTCGAGGAAGCAGAAGCCAGAAATAATCTGAGGAAAATAAAGAGAGGAGGAGGAGACAAAAGAGAGTTTGAGAATGGAGAAGTAAATAGACTTGAAACACTGTTGGCTGAGGGAAGGATCTTCTGTGATATGCCTGCCTTGGCAGACAGAGATAGCATTCTTCTGAGGGATACCCGCTTGGAAAACTCATTGATCTGCCAACCACAGCAGAGAAACATCCATGGTCGAATCTTTGGAGGGTTTTTGATGCACCGTGCATTTGAATTGGCTTTCTCCACAGCTTATGCCTTTGCAGGCTTAGTGCCATACTTTCTAGAAGTCGATCACGTTGACTTCTTGAGACCTGTGAGTACCCCATTGACATCCTTCTTAATTGCTAGCATTACGCATAATAGTCATTAGCTTCTCCCTCAATTGAAATTCCAGTGAAGCATTTTCTGGTACTGTTTTTGTTATTTATTATCTTAGGCGAGTTTCTTATCCAAAGTATCTTTAACCTATTATTTTGGCTTTCTGAATGGCCCTTGATTGTAGGTGGACGTTGGAGACTTCCTGCGTTTCAAATCATGTGTCCTCTACACAGAAGTTAATCCAGATCAGCCTCTGATTAATATTGAAGTTGTTGCTCACGTTACCAGGCCTGAGCTCAGGTCTAGTGAGGTATGTTCCTCCAACTCCGTGTTCAAAGAACAAGAAAGCTAAAGTTTGGCAATGCTACAGTACCAGATACCCAATTCACTTTCAAGGAACTTTCAGTTTTATGATGATCTATTCATTCATGAATTTTCCTTTTAGATAACTGCACATCTTTTACTGTCTCATGTTTGAAACAGGTGTCGAATACATTTTATTTCACCTTCACTGTACGTCCCGAGGCGAAGGCCAAGAAAAATGGATTTAGGATACTAAATGTGGTTCCAGCAACAGAGGAAGAAGCACGCCATATAGTAGACCGCATGGATTCTCAGGCCTTGCTTTCAACAAGAGGCTTCGGAAAATAAACGCGAATACTAATTGTACGAGACAATAGGCAATGAAGAGGCTCATAGTTGCTAGTTACAAGTGAAAAAACAAAATCCTAAAGAAAAACCTTTGAATAAGAGCCCTTGAACAAATGGGCTATATTTATATCTCCTGTAATTGAAACTTTTGGAAAAGGTGAGCAAGCATACGCCTCATCTGCACCCTATCAGTTGATATATATACATATATTCAAAAGAAGGGCTCATATTTATATGTAGTGCCTGTAATATCAAATTGTCAATCAAAACCACAAATCTACTTATTTCATCTGTGATCTGTGTAGCGAAGTCAAGGGTGCAGATTCATTTTGTGCATGTGAAAGAATTACTATTCAGATGAGGAAAAATAAATCTTGGACACAGTAGGCTGCTTTTACCTTGTACCCCACACAGTTTTCTGTCTTTGCTCCTCCACAAACTCTTCTTTTGCTCATAAGGAAAATACAAAATGTTATCCAAAAGGAATAAAGACAATAGAAATGGAACTTTTCCTTCCTGCCCTTTTATTACTTGTGTTGGTTAAAGACGAGGATATTCCACTAAAAAAACAGTAAAAAAAACTCGGGTCCAGTTAAAAAGGCATAGATAATTTCAATGAAGGCAGGTGACTTTCTGGTTGGATCAAAAGGCACCAAGCAAGCACACCATTTTCAATTTGCCTGTACGCAGCAGAATCTTTTCCTTGAAACACGCAGGATTTGCATCATGAGATGTATCCCTTAATGGAAAACGACCCCTTCATGTCTTCTTTTAAATATTCGAATTTAAAAAACAAGTTGACTGCATAATCAAACACTAAGCATGCCAGGATTAAATTACAAAGAATAATTGGGGATAAGAAAGTTAACAGAGAATAAATTAGTAGTTTGATTTCGTACAGTACAGAACATTTACAGAAACTATCTACAGCCATGGGTTCTGCTTGCCTTAAACAGCATTTCTATGATCAACGTTCTAGACAGGTCTACAGTATTAAACTAATCCGAAATACAACTTATTCTTCCCAGATAAAATCCCTTCCTCCGTATATTATCTATAGAACGCAAAATCGCTTACAAGAAATTTTTTTACAAGTACAAATATAAGGGTGGAGAACCAGAAGCTATATATATAAAACCTGGCATTTAAGCTGGACCATTCTAAGCTTCAACCTGTTCCGACCGCCTACTTCAGGCAGTTTCTTGCTAAATCGAACCAAAAAACCGTTCTGAAATGAGCCAGGGAAACTATGGAGATGTGCTCTCATCGTCAGTCCAACTGTACGGCTGCCTTCCATGCATTCCAGGAAGTGCTTGGGGCAGCATTGGATTTACTGGAATTACTTGTGGTAGCATTGGATTTACTGGAACTGGAAATTTGTGGGCAGTACTAACTATCGTTCGCTCATTTATCATACCAACTTCTTTACATACCCGGTCAAGAATTGTAAGAAAGTCTCTGACCACCATGAAGATTCTGAACGGGTGAGCTTCTTCCCTGGCGGAGTTACCATGGAAGTACTCTGTAATCTCCTTCACTAGGGACAAGGCAACACTTTCTTGAGCTTGAAGTCTTATAATCTCCTCTTCGGCCATTTTCATGAACATGTTCATTGACTCTGAAAATTTCCGCCTGCTTTCATCTGATACCGCTCTCTCATTTAATTGCACAACCTCCTGAATGTCGCTAATTCCTTTAGAAAGCTTTGAAACATCAGTGCTAAGCACATCAGAATCCATGGCAGCAGCTTTCTTCACATTAGTGAGCTCTGAACTGAGACCTGAAACAACTTGCAGGCCAAGCCTCCTACACTTGGCATCATCATTCACAGTTGGGTTTGAAGTTTGATTCCCACCAGTGAGACGAGCACCTTCAGTTCTTATGATTTCTTGTACAACAAAATGCAAGAGTGTGGTTTTCCCATCAGCCCCCTTGACATCGACCAGCTTGAGGAGTGTGTCAAGTTTGAAGGCATGGGCATCACCACGGTTTGTCCCAACATTCATCCTGTTTCCAGTCTTCAGCACAGCTTCTAGAAGCTTCAAGAACATCCTACTGTTCCTCAATTCTTCACAGGCAGCCTACATGAAGGAAATTCCAGTGAGATAACAACGGAAGGCACCTCAGCATGAGTATAAAAAAGGATACTAAAATTACATGCAAAAAAGGGAAAGAAATTAACAGGACCAGTGAGAGAGAGAGAGAGAGAGAGAGAGAGAGAGAGAGAGAGAGAGGTGTGATTTACCTCTAGAGTTTCAAAAGACTTTTTAAGGTAATCAATCTCAGACTCAAAATTAGTCATGTAGAGCATTGCCTCCACCCTTTTAAATGCAAATGGAACATCAAGCAACTCTTTCAGAAATTTCTCAGCAGTACCAAGCTTAACTGGTGAATCATCTTTGTACTCCTTCAACTTACGCTCTTCTTCTTTGGTTGGAGCCATCTTCAATAGACTTTCAAGTAATTCAGTTCCAAGAGCATCAGAATTACCTGCATTGATAACCAGTACCAACAAGCACCATGAATTTACAACCATCACACGAAACTTGTCAAAAACCATTCCATTCGCAATTAGAAATCCTCTAAGAAGAATCACTGCTATATTTCAGTACAATAAATTTTTAGAAGCAAAAGGATATGAACAACATAATGCTAATAGAAAGACAGAGGGTATTTGAATGCTTGTTTCAAATATTTTCCTGACCAACCAAAATCATAAAATTCTCAAGGTTATTTAAAGGGTGAGTTCAAGCTATAACCAAAAGAAGATAACTCTGAAGAAATAACCAAAAACTAACGGATTTATACCTTCTAATAACGCTTCACAAACTTCATCTATGGTCACATTGAGTGCCCTTAGTGAGATTGCAATATTTTGTGACTTTTTCGGATCAAGTACTCTGTTCTCTTGGTTTGGAGAGGGAAGAACTGTGCGTGGGGTCGTTTCCTTTGGATTCGGGTTTGGTGTTTTTACAACAAACAATGTCTCTATCATTTCTTCATTCAACCTGCAACCACCCCAATTCCACAAATTTAGTGGAGCAACACAATACAACCAACCGAAGTACTACATAATTTATAAGCGTACTATAACAAGAAAAGCAAGTAAAATGCAAATCAGATACAGATTGCAGCACAATATAAGGCGAAACTACATAGTGAGAGACAGCAATGTCTTACTTGAAAGAGCTTGATCTAAGCTGATCCCACACCATTTCGCGATCGGAGCTTGCTCGAACTTTATCCCAATGCAATGGCTTTAACTTGGGTTTTGGATTCTCCTCAATAGGCTCCAAGGGATTCGAACTTGGAGGCAACTCTACTGGTGAAACAGAGACCTTTGCTGGGTTCTGAAGTACAAAAGGTCTTGAAGGAGGTATGAGAGCTGGAGGCTTACACATCACTTGGCCAACCGGTGTTTTAGGACTTGGAGTTTCCCAGAGTCTTAGTGAAGGAGGCATCGGTGGCGGAGGCGGCGGCACTGAAATAAGATGTTTTAAACCACCGCTAAGTCTCATCGGAGACTCTGTAATGTGGTGAGAAACATTTGAAAGTTTTGATGAAGCATCTGAATTGTTCCCAAACTCTCTCTCTGGTGAGTTAGACAATGAAGATGAAGCTGATGATGAGAGAGACTGCACTTTTGGATCCAAATTAATATATTCGGAAGCGCTTGAAATTCTTGGTGATGCAGCTGGGCTTTTCTCTGGTGAAAAAGACTTGGCCTCTGGATCAGAAGCATTTGATCGTCTCTCTGGTGACGATGAATAAGATGAAGATGACGAAGAAGACTGCTCATTACGATCTGAAAAGGCCGAAACTTTCGGTGACGCTTCTGGGTTCTTTCCGAAACTTCTCTCTGGTGACGAAATGGGCGAGCTTTGGTCCGAAACGACCGAAATTATCGGCGATGATGAATCTGGGTTCTTACCAAAACCTCTCTCCGGTGATGAACTGGGCGAGCTTTGGCCCGAAACGACCGAAGTTCTCGGTGATGATGAATCTGGGTTCTTTCCCAAACCTCTCTCTGGTGACGAAATCAGAGAACTTTGGCTCGAAACGACCGAAATTTTCGGTAATGCGTCTGGGTTCTTTCCGAAACCTCTCTCCGGTGACGAAATCAGAGAACTTCGGCCCGAAACGACCGAAACTTTAGCTGATGCATCTGGGGTCTTTCCGAAACCTCTCTCCGGTGACGAAATCAGAGAACTTTGGCCCGAAACGACCGACACTTTAGCTGATGCATCTGGGTTCTTCTCCAAGCTTCTCTCCGGTGAAAAAGATAGCGACGACAATGAGGGAGACCGTCTCTTTCGGTCCGATGTAGATGGGTATTCGTCCGCAGCTTTCTCTGGCGAAGACATTGGAGTCAATGAAGGAGACCGTACATTCTCGTTACCAAACCGCGTCGCATGGTACGTAGCTGCGGGCTCAGGAGGCTTGGGCTCTTCTGATCTTCTGTTGGGGCTCAAACTCACTGGCGGAGAGAGGCTGATAGACTGTGACCGAGACGGCGAACCCGAATCCGAAGACGAGCAAGAGCAAGACGTTGTTTCACTGCTTCTCCTGTCGAAAACACCACCCGCCACCGCCGCGAACACTCTCCTGGACCCCGATCCAGTTCCATTGAAGCTCTCTCGATCGCCCGAAGACCCTCTGGGCGAGTAGAACTCTTCTTCTTCTTCGTCCTCGTCTTCGTCTCGGTCTCGGGTCGAACCCGGTTCGGCATTCTCGCAATTGATCAGCATCGAGGTCTGCCGAGCCAGTGGCGGAAGCGGCTGGAGGTCCGGCGACTCGACTTTCCGAGTTTCTAACTCGGCGACGAGGCCATTACTGCCGCACGAGTCGACTGGGTCCTCGAGTCCGCGTGAGCTGACCAATGTGCCCAGGTAGAGGAACTCGGAGCTGGTGGAGGAGGCGGTCCGGAGTTTGTGGGTCCCACTGAAGGAGTGGCTGTGATTGGGCTGCTGAAACAGCCTGTTGCTTTGTTCGGATCTAATAAACGACTTGTCATCCTCGTCGTCATCGGGGAAGTTGCGGCTATTGTGTCGTCTGCGGCGGTAGAGGAAGAAGGCGGCGAGGGAGATGACGACGACGGCGGAGAGCACGGCGGCGATGGTGAGGGCGAGGAGCTTGTGGGCGCTGGAGTTTCCAGAGGGGGTTTTGGGGACGATGAGGGAGGAGATGTTGGCGGGGAAGGAGGCGAAGGCGGTGGTTGGGGAGGGAGGAGGAGGCGGCGGGGAGGGGTAGGATGGGAAAAAGGGGGAATCGGCAGGGGTAGAGTTGGAACCGGAAAATGGGTACTTTGGGGGAGTTGGGTTTGAAGGGAGGGAAGGTGGGGAAGGTGATGGGGGCTGAGTGGGAGGTGAGGAAGAGTCTTGAGGCAGAAATGGCTGGTGGAGGACCCTATGGTTTGGCCTTGAGGTAGCAATGGGCTGAGAAGATAAGAAGAGCAGGAGGAAGATGAAGAAGAAGGAGGGCATTGTGAATTTGGAGATTGAGTTGCAGAGTCTCCAGTGTTTTGTGTTTGTGTTTGAGTCACTTGTCAGTGAGAGAGAGAAGAGAGAGAGAGAGAGAGAGAGGAGAGAGAAGGAGAGAGGAAGGTGGGGACTGTGTGAAAAGATTGAATCTTTGAGAGTAAAAAGTGGTGTTTTTTTTTGGTTGGTTAGACATAGAAAAATGGGAATTGGTCTGTTGGTGATGCAAGTGACTGCAGCTGCATCCAGCTGTTTAGTGTTTGCTACTTCCACTAGTGGGAACACTGGACTTGCCTTCCTTGCCTGCCTCGCCAGTGCCACCACTCTCTGGTTTTGTTTTCTTCTGGTTAAAATTGATTGCCTTATTCTATGCTCTATGTTGGTCTTATTTTCAATAGACTGTAAATGCTACAGTTGAATAATCTTGAATAATCCGTCAATAGACTCAACACCACTCTAAACCCATCAAACCCTAATTCCACTAGAAACATAATTGAACTAAAATAGAATGGGAAGGAAATCTCGATGAAAAAAATACCAAACTTTCCTTAAATCTTTATACGCCGAACTTTCCTTAAATAGTTCAATTATGATCAATGTGCCATAAAAGAACCGATGTTTGTTGGCCCAAATGCCCTTAGGTCATGGCAAAGCGATGTGTATTGCTTGACATGTCGACATCATTTGCCCAATTTGCAAGTCATAGCTCGTTAGAGCTTGTGCATTTTGAGACAATTTATGGATAGAATAATGCTGATGATCCTCATATAGTTAGTTAGAGTTGCACAAAACATAATTTAATTAAGTTTTACGCAATATTCAATTATAATATAATAATAATTTAGTCGTATTTCTCTTTTCAATGTTAGAATATGTTCCGAATATGAATATCTTCTTTCCCTTTGATCAAAATAATTATAAATAATATCAACCACACTATACGCGAAAAATCATGTCAATACAAAGTTTTTACAAGGAGTGGAAATTCAGCTAGTATTATTCCTCACCGACAATAGCGCCCGAGATTTCAGGGCGGACGGAGGTCAACAAAAGCGGTGTGTCCGGTCGTCGCCTTTTTGCAGTGCAACCCATGCATGCGCATTATTGCACCACCAATACCATGACACTGATAGCTATTGGAATATTGCACAAAGCGACGTCGTACCATCACACCATCATAGCTTCACCTGAAAGGAAGATTAGATTAGAAAGCCAATTCAAGAAAACAAGAATAATAATTAAAATTTACGTAAAGTTCAATACTAATTTTCTCTAAAAGCCAAATTCAGTGGATACTAAAGTAAAAAAGAAAGATTAATTAGAAAGCACATTTTATGAATTTCTTTTTTAATTCGAGAAAAAAAGTCAAACTTTAAGTTCAAACACGAATTAGTGTATTTCCAACAATGATTTAACTGAGTCAAGCTGATCGGCAATAAGTATGAGATTTTATATCCTCACAAACCCATCAGATCGCCAGAGTTATAAGTCATTTTCTAATTGACGAATTTTTATTATTATTATTTTTTTTTGTAAGTTATTTTATTTTATTTTATCTAAAACCGAATGCGAAAGAGGAAAAAGAGCATACAACAAGTGATGTAATTGGTGTAGTTTTGGCAGCTTGCGCACGGAATGCATACAAAAGCAAAACAAAGCACTCTCTCTGTGTAATGTGTAAAGGAACATGGACTGTGCAGCACCGACACTTAGAAATTATTTGCATTATTATTATTATTATTCAACCAAGTACGTGGGGTGGTCAATTTGACAGTGTAGCTACCAAATTTAGAAAACCAATGGAGGAGACTGGCACGTTTGCTGATGAAACAATGGAAACTGGGAAGAGAAGGTACATCTTGGAACCCTAATGCTGATTGCTTTTACGATTATTTAATTATATTTATGGATCTGCATAAGATCGATACCATTCGTCTTCCCTCTGTGTTTAATCTGTGTTTATATATTTTATGCCCTTCTTCCTGTCTTGCATTCTTGGCCCAACGTTCTTTAAAAAATAAAATAAAACTCTCCAGAAGAGCAATAATTAATTGTTATTCTATTAGTTATCTGATTGAGTGATTATTAAGTGATGATTTTTATTTTATTTCTAAAAAAAATTTAGGTTGGGGAGTTGCCACTACCTGTGTTATTGAGCCCAAGCCGATATCAAATGTTATAAAAAGTAAAAAACGAAGGCAATATGCCGGGGGGGTGATTGTTAAACCAATGTTGCGCTCAAATTTAGTACTTGTTTGGGAGTGATTATGGGCAAAAGTGTCTCCCACGTGTTTCTCTATATAAATCACTTTAAGAGATTTTGCGAAGAAATACTTCCTATGTGTTTTTTCATGAAATTACTTAAAACCACTTATAAGTGATTCTCCATCAAAGTGATTATTGGCCTATCCAAAATCACTCTCGAACGACCCTTTATACTTTGGGTGGCTAACCATTATCAACCGGGGTCAATTTAAATTGATAAAAAAAATATTACTAAATCATTTTAATTTTATAGTGTGTATAGTTGACTAATATTGACTATACAGTGCAAAGCCTCTGTTGGTTGTCAAGTCCTTTAGAAATTGATAAATATTGATCCTTCTTGCACTCGCACACAAGATTCAATTGTGAGGGAGTTTCTCACACATATCAAGGTGTCACGTAAGTTTGAACTTGAGACCATTGATATGCAGCTTTTTTTAAACCTTAAAAAAAACGTTATTTTTTAAGTGGGTTTATATATGATACTTAATTAGGTATATATATAGTGGAAAATTATGTCACATAATGGATTCTAAGATCGATCTAACCCAAAAAACAGAAAAAGAACCCAAATTTTTTTCTTCTCAGAAAAGCGAATCATGAAGTGCTCTTATGACATGGGTCTTGACTTTATTTGTACATAGCTCACATGATCAGCTGGAACCTACCAATTTGACCCTGCATACCAATATTACCAAGGCAATGTTGGGTGTTTCCAGTGATGTGCATTTAGAGGCAATCATTTGCCTGTTCTTCAAATACTTGAAGGTAAAGCCACCATGAAACAGACACTATCAAACTAACCAGAAGCATAAAAATCATTAGTGCCATAAAAGCTTAGAATTACTTTATTCTAGAGAGAGAGAGAGAGAGAGCGAGAGAGAGAGAGAGAGGGAGAGATATATATCTGGCATTGAAGTTAACCTAATTGATTGATTTGCTCCCCATTGCTATGTATGTGCATGTGTTCATTATTCTCTAGAAGATGCCATTTTAGATGACCTGGGCTGAACGGTAACATTTCTAAATTTTGTTGAGATCTTTAGACTCTGATTAATTATGAATTTTCAGTGCTTAATGACTTTTCCCCTCTTTTTCCAGTGCTAAAAGGTCAAAAAGCAATTTCCGGAAAAGAAAGAAAGGTAAAAGAGAAAAAGAATAAAAAGAAGAGAAAGTAATTTGTTCTTTAATTAATTACGGTAATTGGGATTAGAGCGATGCTTAGGGTTTTCAATAAGCAAAAGTGAGATTTCCCTCGACCAAAAAGCTCCAAGGTTTTAGAAATAGAAATGTATATATATTTTTTCTTTTCTTTCTTTCTGTTGTCTTTTGTGGATCATCACTGCTTTTTTTTATTTTTTATTTTTTTAATTAATTGATTATTTTTATTAATTATATAATCAATTTAAAATAACCCCAAATCAGAAATGATTATTTTGATTAAACAAGTACCTGGATGAAGCATTGTTGGTTGGATTCTCTTGGGCACCACTGTGTTTTTGCGATCATCTGTCATGTGTCATGTGCACACCCTCTCTTGCTTTGTTGCATGCACAAGCTTTTTAAGTTACCTATAAAAAGAAAGATAAAAAGGTAAAAGCCAGGATCGAAATTAAGCAAAAGAAAAGCATTGCTGCAAGTGGAACGTTGTGGTTATTCCTTTTACTATTAACATTAGAGGGTGTGATTTGTATTCTCTGGATGACATGGTTTAAAAAATAAAAAGAAATTCTAATGCGTTTTATAAATTCAATTTAGTACCCTGAACTCTCACCCTTAAAACACGTTTGTTCATGCACTCCCAATTTTAACAATCATATATTCTTTTTAATTTTTTGCAATCTAGTTTTGGCTGTCAAAATTTCCCTTAATTGTCTACGTGGTAGACATGGATCCCACCTTTTTGTTGGTTTCGATGTCAGTTAAAGGGTATTTTCGATCATGCCTAATATCTATTCAAATGAGAAATTTGTTAGACGTCATTTGTTAAAATTGAGAGTGTATGGACAAATATGCATTAAAGGTGAGAGTTTAGGGTACTAAAGTCAAATTAACCCTTTTTTATAAGGTCCTTTAGAGTTTTGAAACGTTTAGGGAGAGGGGAAGGTACCCCATCTCAGGACCAGAACATACGAAGGTCTTTTGATCGTGATTAAAGTGGCAATTAACTAGATATATATCTATAAGCAATGATGGTTTGCTAATTGAGAGTCTTTTTCCTCCTCCCCACATTCCAATTATTATATGTGGTAATGATTTTCGGACCCTGAATTTAATTAACAGCATAATTAAGGCATAAGTTAGGATAGTAATCATGTTTTGTAATTCCAAAATTAAACTCTCTCTAGCTCATCACATGGAGAAGGCTCTCTACTGTAGAATGTGCGCACAACATGCGCCTTTTTAAATTTATTTATTTCCATTATATATAGGGTTTTCATCATTATTTGACCATCACCACCATAATCTAATCCACAGATAACATAATGTTATTTGAACGATCCACATCAAATCAAAACACCTTGCTCCAATTTTGTTCTGTTTACGATGGGCCTTGCCTTCCATGGCTTTCTTTCCCAGTTGGGTTGGTGGAGCTTCCATTTAGTACCCTTCTGTTCCGCCGCAACGGAAGTTGTTGGGAGTTGCTTTCCAAATAATTTTCTTTGTCATCGTGAAGATGCTGACCACGTAATTCCAACCGAAATTGAATGCTTTCCCTCCCTCTCTTTGATAAGAGGCGGATTCGCTGTCCCCAAATTGTATGTCCCCTTCATGTTTCTCTTCTAAATTTTCGAGATCTGTTTTTTCACATAACAAATTCTAACACGGTTAACTCGTATAAAAATATAAAATAAACAAAAGACCCACTAGTATAGTGGTTTGGAGCAATTACTCCATTCAGAAATTGAATATTAATACTTAAGCGTTGATATATAGTTGGAAGTTATTAATAATATTCAACAAATGAATTTGTAAAATCAGACGGGGACGTTATAGAACATACCTATATTTTCCTCAAAGTCCCTCACGAAGTCATCGAACCATGACCACCTATCCACAACAATTTCCTCAGGTCGATTGCTAAGGAAGTATGTTCCTGACATCACCTTGTCAGTTTTTGAAAAATCTCCAGCAATGACAAATTGAGAAGCAGGAGCATCATTTCGAAAACTTATTACACCTGCCGCCTCATCATGATCATCTAACCAACAAACCCAGCAGAGTAAACAGTTAGTTCCTGAATCAAAGTTTTTGTAAGTCAAATTGTCAACTATTGTAAAACACAACTAGTGATTTTTGTTCTATTGTATTGAGCTTACCTGGTCCCAATGGGAGATGCTAATTGTACAAACATTTACTAAGGACACATTATTAACTGCTTCTCTAATAGACGTGGATTTCAAATAAATGGACGGGTATCACTGATTAGTAAATGTGGTACAAATAACATTATTTGTCTTCTATATGCTCTGTATTGATTACCATTTCAAAGTAATGAAAAATATTTCACTTCTCATCATCGTCCACCCACATACCTTGGAGCACCATATTTGACTGACTTGTGTCAATTCTATCTTCTCGAGTCCTCATCTTCTTTTCTTGCTCGTACACAAGCTGAATGCCGTACTCTTTTACCTGAAACTCAAATCTCGTAAATACTGAAACAGTCACCCGATCGCCACGATCTAATATTTGACTTCCTAACCTCCAATGGCTTAACCATACCATGTCTTTCCCATCACCTGGAACGCCAAAGAATGAAGGGACATATACCCACTTCAAATTCTTTCCATTTTCATTACTGACTTTAATTGCAGTAACTATTAGGTTAGGTATTGATTCAACATTGGCATTGATGTTCTTACTGTTGGACTTTGCATAGACAGAGAAGACGTTCAAGCCCCGAATCTTGAGATTGCCACGTATAGGCACGGTTAAAGATATTGACGACTGTGTACTACTTCTATGGCTGAAAGGGCCTGGAACCTCATTTCCAGGAAGAAATGTGCTGAATATACCATATTCATTCAGTCCCTATGCCAAGGAAATCAAAATATATTAGTGAAGTAAATCTTGTATATATGAAGACAGACATCACGTGACACAAGGTTAGCGTGGCATGAGAGAGAGAGAGAGAGAGAGAGACCTGGGTGGGATGCATCCTACTCTTCATCCAAGTTTTGAACACATGTAGGGTACTATCCATCATAATGGTTTCCGTGGATTTCATCTTGCCCAGGCTCAAAAGGTTGATCATTTTTTCATCAACTCTTTCAATGTGTTCTAACTTGAAGTAGTGCTCAATCTCAACTAGCTTGTAATTGGATTCATCCAAGATGATCTTTGGTTGGTACGACATTGATTGAAATGCTACTGTTTCCAATGATGTGCAACCATTTACTATCAATTCTGTCACAGGGGGTAGCCCTCGAAGCGACTCGAGTCTCGTACACTGTGAAAAAGAGAGTTCCTCCAGTCTCTTAAGGCCTCTGATGCAATCTGGTAGGCTAGAAATTGGATTACAGCTTAGATTTAATCTTTGCAATGAGAACAGGTTACCGAAACCCCGAGGAAAATCATAATTAGAGAGATTGCAGTCACTAAGACTTAATTCCACTAAATTGCATGGTAAATAACTAGTCCAATATGTCTCTGGATTTTTTCTTGGTTGTAATTTGACCTCCACAATCGTAGTGAGTAAGCGATATATTGGAACTCCATCTCCTTGAAGCACTTTCAGAGATTCCATTTTCCCCATCTCTACTGGAAACTCATTAAGACTTGAGCAACCAGAAATGATAAGTGTTTCAAGGAATTTTAGCATAAAAATGTTCTTTGGGAGCTTTCTGATATTTTTGCACTCTTCCATATTCAAATAAACAAGTTTCTTTAGGTCTCCAATGGATTCAACATCAACCAAGTTTGTACAGTCTTTAAGAATAAGGCTTTCTACATTGGGGACATGTGAAAAATCAGGGGTACCGGTAAGGCGATGGGAATTACTGAGGTTTAGGATCTTCAATGATGGAAGATACTGTTAAAATGCCAACAAAGAAAAAAGGGAAGGAGTCGATCAAATCCTATAACTGTATAAAATATAAGCTTAAAAACGTTAAAGAAAAGGGAAATATATTGTCTTGATCCCATACCTTTTTTCCCTTCCAGACTTGTCTCAAGTTGCTATAGCACATTTCAAGAACAACCAGGCTTTCCAATGTAAGATCACTGGGTAGATAATCAAATGGAAACTCATTCCAACACAACCATCTTAGTTTTGTTGGAAATACTTTGTAGCGTCCAATGAGACGTACATGACTAAGTTGGAGTAGTCTTAGTTTGCGCATGCTTGCAAATGCATCGGTTTCCAAAGTTACCTCATTCGAATTTCTTGAAGGAGTGCAATATGCAGGATGCATTCCCATGTTCAGGACAAGGCCTTCAATTGTTTGTGTACCCTAATAAATAAATAAAAGATAAAAGAAACACTTCTGTAAATTGATTAACAAACACCGCACAGATGCATACAAAAAAAGTATTTCACAAAATATATCTTACATTCTTTTCTTTCAGTACTTTGAAAGAATCTTTATGATTCCACAATCTACTACGTTCCCCGGGGTCCTTTGATTCTAGGTGAACAATACCTCTTCCCATGTCCCGGATCATGTAATGCATATGCACCTTGTTATATTCATCAACTGTTACCAGACATCTATCAATGAGATTTTGAATGCCAACAATTGTGTAGAAGCCACAACTATCTAGTATTCTAACAATCACGTCTTTCTCCATTCCGATGAAGAAACATGCAATATGGAGAAATAAACTTCGATCATGTTCATCTTGTAAAGAGTCGTAGCTTATTCTGAGTTTATTCAATATTTCACCATTTGGAATGGCTTCCAATTTGTTTAATGCACTTTCCCATACAACTGTACTCTTCCCTGATAAAGAAGAACCCAAAATCTTCAAAGCTAATGGAAGACCTCCGCTAAGGTTTACCACCCTTTCTGAAAGTTCCATGTAATCTTTTTCGGGATGGTCTTGCCCGAATGCATGCCAACTGAAGAGCTCCAGTGACTCATTGCGACTAAAAGTTTCAAGGTTATGCACCTTAATGGCTTGGTGGCTAGCATTTAACAAAGCTGCGTGGCTAGTTGTGATGATGATTTTGCTTCCTGGACAAAACTGGCCTTGCATCCTAAGTACTGCATCTAATTGTTCGACATGATCCACATCATCGAAAACGAGAAGAACTCTTTTAGAGCTAAGAGCATCTTCAATCTTAATTATTCCCTCGCTAATATTCCCTACTTTCACTCGTTTGCCATTCAAAACATCAGAAAGAAGTTTCTTCTGTATTTGTACTAAACCATTGGTTTGCTTTGAATGTTCTTTGATATTTTCCAGGAAACTGCTTCCCTTATACCTTTTGAAATTTATATTGTAAACGAATTTTGCAAGGGTTGTCTTCCCTATTCCACGCATCCCATAAATGAGAAGTACTCTAACTTTACTCGATCCATCATGTAACCATAAATTAATATCTTGAACTCGAGAATGGATTCCAATCAGGTGTGCGTGTGGGGCAACATTGAATGCAGTGCGACTTAATTTGCCTTCAATCACCTTAACAATTTTCTTGATGAATTTTGACTCGTGCCTAGAAAATTGCAATCAAGATGGAAAACAAGGGAAGCATAATTAAATTGTAAAGTCTCATGGAAACAACATGCCAAAATTCTAAGTACCTCAATTAATCTTTTATTTATTTTATTTTTTTATACAGAGTGGGGTGGGGGAATCGAACTCAGGTACAGAGTGAGGAGCACATCCGACTTAACAAACTTGGCTAAGTCCATGTCTGCACCTCAATTAATCATTTAAATTTAATAAGTACAAAATCAAACTTTGTAAAAACAATTTATAAACCTTATGGCAATTTTCTCTTTTATCTTTTTTTTTTTTTTTTTTTTTTTTTTTTTTATTTTATATTCTACTTTAAACTTTAAACTAATTAAACAAGGAACAGGGAATTCAAATTCGGGTGCAGAATGGCGAGCACATCCTCTCTAGCCAATTTTATTAAGTCCATGTCTGCCTCATCATCATTATCTTTGATACGCATATGAACAATATGTTTCAAGTACCAAAATTGCCCATGAGATGTGTTAATTTTTATATATTTATTTGGTACTATTGATAGACTAAATTGGGACAAATAACGTTAGGTGAAAGTCAATGTTCAGGTACCAATTAAAAACAAATCATATAATATTATATTTGGGAACACAAAAAAGAGAGAAAAATAGCACCAAATAGCCTCTATCTATAAATTTTTTACCAATTAATCTAGAAGGAGATCTAATATATCCAAGGTCATATATATATTTTTTTTTTTTTTTTTTTTTTTTTTTTGTATATATGCATACGCAGTATGTAATAAAGAAATTAATTAATTAACCTAATCAGCTTGATTTTGCAAGACCATCCCGGCTAGATCTGCAACTTCAGTAAGTGCAGCCCTCCGTTTCTCCACCTTGACCTTCAAGGACCCATTTTTCACAAAAGCTGTTGCAAGACTTGCCGTCGGCTTCCTCACTTGAGATGGGTCTACGTCGTAGAAGACTGGTAAAACTACATGATCTGACGTCCTTTTGCGTTCGAGGATCATGACAAGTTCGTCAAGGCACCATCGGGAGGACGCGTAGTTTTTGGATAACACAATGACAGAACTTCGCGATTGCTGGATGGCTTTCTGCAGTTCTGGCTTGATATCTTCTCCTCTTTCGAGTTCATCGTCATCTCTAAATGTGCGAAAGCCTGCGTTTACGAAGGCTGTGTAGAGATGGTCAGTAAAAGTCTTGCGAGTGTCTTCGCCTCTGAAACTCAAGAACACGTCATAGCTGTGTGGAGGATGAGAGGCGTTTTGACTCTGGTCAGCTGATTTAACAAGAGCCATCGAATAACGTGTAAATCTCTGCCCTTGAAATGAAGATGTGCGTACTAATTTTTAGAAGGAACTGATCATAGGTTGGAACCACAAACTTTTATTTTTCCAGTTATATATTCTAGCTAGGAACCAGATAGCGTATAGGAATATCTGGTGGCAATGAGTTCACCGACCATGATGAATAAAGAATGCAGTTCTTTTATTTATTATTTTCTGACCTAGTGTGAATGGAGTGAATGGTTGCTTGCGACGATACGATTTCAGCCCTTGCCAATTCATAATTTCCAGACATAAGCCCATTGACTTTTGATTCATTGATTAATCCAAGTTTATTATTATTATTTGTCTTTAAATGAGTTGTTGTAGTCAATACTTTCTGGAAAGTCAGCTGAGAGACAAGCGGATTTTCAATCCCACATGCCCTCATAAGTAACATGACATTCATTGGCTGGCAACTTCTTGGAAAAATGCCATCAAATTATTTTTTCATTAATTTTCTTCACCAAATGAGACGGAAATTATGTTATTTATTTAAATCCCTCAGCTCACAAACTTTAAATTGTCAAGGGAAACCTAAAATATTAATTGAAGAATAAAGGACCCATAAGTGTAGTAGTTTAGAGTAATTATTCCATCAGGCAAGGTTTTGGATTCGTATCTTAGCATTCATCTAGTGTATGCGAGTTTAGTATACTATCATCTCTCTCAATGAAAATGGTCCTAAAAAAAATTGTTAATTGACGATGGATGACCGGTGGAGTATTTCTACAGTCATACTTTATGAACCGCTTTCTTTTCGTAACGTTTCTTATTCTGATCAACCACCACAGCATGCATGAATTAAATTGACTCCAATACACAGGAAAACGACAACGTTTAGTATCCAGCTAATAGTATCTTATCCTTCACTTTGAATCAAGTGATGCGCCTTAGGTAATTGAACTCAGGTGCAAAATGGTTGGTAATATATTCTGCAGTTGGGCCTGGCGTAGAGTGAGTGATGAAGTATGTTCCTTTACGATCCCACTTAAACCCATACACCGAAGCTTCTCCAGCAATCACATTTGGATAAAAAGGGTCCTCCGTGTAGCTCTTCCACCTCTTCTCTCCCTGCTCGTACACGACCTGGATGCCACATTTCTTTACCCTAATTTCCGCTTTTGGAAATACCTTAAAATCCACTTCATCGCCCCCTCGCACTTGATCACCGAACCTCCAATGGCTCAGCCATGTCACATCCTCTCCATCGCTCGGGACGCCGTGGTACAACGGGCCGTATGTCCATGCCACGCGGCTGGTCTTGTTGTCTACTTGACCCATTATAGGTCTAAGTGATGAATCCCTAGTGTAATTGTACTTAGAAGGAGTGTCGGATTTTGTATAGACGGCGAAGACGTTCAAGCCTCGGATCTTGAGATTGGGAAGTAAAGGCACGGTGTAAGATACTGAGAGCCCATCCATATAATGGCTGAACTGTTTCGGAACCTGGTCCCCGGGAAGAAATGTGCTGAATATACCATTTTCATACAGTCCCTATGCCAACAACACACTTACACATCAACATATGCATAGTACTATAGCAGTAACTTCGCGAAGATTTTATGTTAAGAATTGATTAAAAACTTCTAATTTCAGCTATCTATGTTTTTTTTAGACACTTCCGTTTCCGTATACGGATCAATTTAACAAAAAGCTTCTTTTTAATGCATATAACTATATAAAGTGGAGATAGAGAAAGAGACCTTGATGGGTTGCTGCTTCTTCTCAGTCTCAGCATTGACAAGCGCATCATGTGTAGTGTCCGTAATAATTCGCATGGATGCCCAGTTGGTCAAGCCCAGAAGGTTGATCATTTCTGCATCGTCAAATGCATCAATGGGTTCAAACTTGAAGCAGCCCTGAAGCAGAGCTAGCTTCCAGTTGGATCCAATGACAAAGCGGGTAGGTCGATAGGAAATCGATTGATACGATATTTTCTCCAATGAGGTGCATCCGGATATTACAATATGTTCTCCAACCTTGGGTAGCCTTACAAGGTATTTGAGCCTTGTGCATTGAGAAAAAGAAAGTGTATAGAGCTTCTTAAGACCTCTAATACAATCTGGTAGGCTGCGAATAGGGTTGCCGCTTAGGTTTAGGTTTTGCAATGAGGACAGGTTTCGAAATGCGGCAGGAAAATCATCATCAGAAAGATTGCAATTTCCAAGACTTAAATCTACCAAGTTGCTTGGTATGTAAGAAGTCCAAAACATTTCTGGAATATTTTCTTGCCCTAGTTCAACCTCTGGATCCTCTGCGGTATGGAGCAATTGGTGAATTGGATCTGCTTGAAACACTTTTAGAGATTTCATCTTCCTCATGTCCATCAGAAACTCTTTAAGATTTGAGCAACCGGAAATAATAAGTGTTTCAAGGAATCTTAGCTGAGAAATGTCCAGCTTCCTAACATTTTTGCAATCTTCCATATTCAACTCAGTGAGTGTCTCTATTTTTCCAATGGATTCATGGACATCAACTAAGCTTGGACAGTCTTTCAGAATCAGAACCTCTAGATTGGGAACAAACGAAAAGTCAGGGGTTTCTTTAAGATAATGGGAATGGCTGAGATTTAGGATCTTCATTGTTGGGAGACACTGTTGAAAAAGAAACAACTTAACTAAGTAGGTAAACAATTAATTCTTACAAATGTATAATCCAGCATCGAAAACGCGAAAAAAAGAAAAAGGAAAAAGGAAAGTATAGTGTAAAGAGGTAGCATATACCTCAGTTCTCTGATTCCAAAATCGTCTCAAGCTGCTATAGCACATTTCAAGAACAACCAAACTCTTCAATGGAAAATCAATGGGTAACATTTCCAACTGAGATTGATGCCAACTCAACCATCTTAATCCTTTAGGAAATTCTTGATAGTTTCCTTCGAGTTGTACATGACTAAGTTGGAGCAGCTTTAGTTTGTTCATCTTTGCAAATGCATTGGTTTCCAAGACTACCTCAACATTTGACCTTCTTGAAAGAGCACTATATGCAGGGTGCATACGCATGTCCAGAATAAGACCTTCAATATTTTCTGTACCCTGAAAAGTAATAAACATTTGAAAATAAAATATTTGGATATATAAGTAACCAAAATGGATGCCCAAAAAGTAAAGCGTACAGATACAAAAAGGAAATATGTTTCTTACACTATTTTCTGTCAATACTTCGAAAGAATCCTTATGACGCCATAACCTACTGCGTTGCCCCGACTGCTCGGATTCTAAGCCAACAATTCCCCTTCCCATGTCACGAATCATATGATTCATCTGCACCTTGTTACATCTATCAATTCTTATCAAACATCTATCCAGGAGATTTTGAATGCCAACAATTGTTTGGAAACCACAACCATCTAGTATTCTAACCATGACATCATTTTCCATTCCAATGAAAAAGCATGCGATGTGAAGGAATAAATCTCGATCGTGGTCATCTTGCAAAGAGTCATAGCTTACTCTAAGTTTCTTCATGATTTCATCCTTTAGGATAGCTTCCAATTTCTCTAATGCACTTTTCCATACAACCATACTTTGCCCTGATAAAGAAGAACCCAAAGTTTTAAGAGCTAAGGGAAGTCCTCCGCAGTGGTTTACTACCTTTTTTGAAATTTCCTTGTAACCTTCAATGGGATGGTCCTTTCCAAAAGCATGCCTACTAAAGAGTTCCAATGATTCACTGTCCCTGAAAGTTCCAATGTCATGCACCTTTATAATTTGGTAACGATCAGATCTTAACAACCCTACAGTGCTAGTTGTTATGATGATTTTACTTCCTCGGGAAGACCGATCTTTCATCCCAAGTAGTAGATCCAATAATTTGTCCATATGATCCACATCATCAAGAACAAGAAGGATTCTTTTAGAGCTAATGGCATCTTCAACCTTAGTTATGCCCTCACTTACACTGTTTACTTTCACGTTTCTTCCATCCAAAATATCAGTAAGAAGTTGTTTTTGTACTTGAACTAAGCCATTGGGTTGTTCTGAACTTCCTTTGATATTTTCAAGGAAACTGCTTGCTTCAAATCTTCTAAAGTTTGAATTGTAAACAAATTTGGCAACCGTTGTCTTCCCTGTTCCACGCATCCCATAAATTGCCAGAATGCCAACATCAGTCGATTGATCTTGTAACCACTGATTAATGTTTTTGACTCGATAGTCAATTCCGATCAAGTGCGGCGCAGAACTTAATGGCGTGCGACTTAGCCTATCTTCAATCACTTTAACAATTTTCTGGATAAACTTCGCCTCATGCCTAGACAATTGCAATATGAAGAATAAATGTCGGGACTAATATTGTTAAATCGTAAATTCTCATGGAAATAATATGACATTTAATCTACAATGAGTTGAATGAGGAAAAATATAGACCGCGAAAACCATACTGAAAAAACACACGAAAGAAAGAGAAAGAGAAAGAGAAAGAGCACAAATTAATCCACAATTCTTTTTTTTCTTTTTCTTTTGGTGAATGTTGAATTGGTACATCTTGGAATGAAGTTGTTTAGTCAGCTTCAAATTATTCGCATTATTTTTTTTCTTTTTCGTGTGACGGCATATAATTTTTGGGATTTTAGTTTATTCTCAACTAATCAAACGCGTCATAAAAATAAATAAATATTACGTACTCACCCATCAGCTTCGTTTTGTAAGACCATCCCTGCTACATCTGCAACTTCTGTAAGCGCTGCCCTCCATCTCTTTGTCGTCTCCAACGAGTGACGCATTTCATGTCTGGCAAACGCCGTTGCAAAACTCCCCGTCTGTTTCCGCACTTGGGATGGATCGACGTCATAAAATACTGGCAAAACGACATGGCTAGAGTTGGAGCTCCTCTTGCGATCGAGGATCATCACGAGCTCGTCAAGACACCAAAGCGAAGACGCATACTCCTTTGAGAACACAATGACAAAACATTTTGACTCTTTGATGGCTCTCAGAACTTCCGGCTGAATATGTTCTCCTCTCTTTAGTTCATCGTCATCTCGGAATGTGCGAAGGCCGGCCTTCACAAAGGCCGTGTAGAGGTGGTCAGAAAAAGTCTTGCGAGTGTCTTCGCCTCTGAAACTCAAGAACACTTGATAACTAGATGGAGAAGGACGAGAGGTAGTACTGTTAAAAGATGAGGAGGCACTATTAGCACGAGAAGAACTGACATTGCCATTACCATGACCATTTCCGCCAGGGTTATCATATGCAGTACTAGAAGCACCAACGCTGGGTGCAACCCGGCGACCTCGAAAACTTGTTGATCCCGAACGAGGAGAACCACCGCGTCCTGATGGAAGAGGTACTGAGGCAAAGGCGGCGGCTGTAGTGGCAGAATTAGGGTTGTGAGATTGAGAAGCGTAGCGCTTCTCCAAAGACAGCCATGCGTTCCGTGCAGTAGTGGAGTTAGCCACAACAGATAAAACAGAGGGAGCAAGCGAGGCATTGATCCAACTTTGGACCATCCGATCCTCTCTAATCCACAGGTCATATGCGGGATCAACGGTGAAGGTTATTTTTCCTTGAGCATCAGTGAGATAATAGTCAGGGCAGGGCTTGGTCCCGTCCACATAACCCATGAGGTTTCGACTTTGTAAGATGGGAATAGCTTTGGCAAGCCAAACAGGATAATTGGTGCCATCGAGTTTGATGGCATTTGACGGAAGAGAAGTTGAGGAGGAAGACATGGATGGATGAACGAAATCGATCGAGCAATTAAGTTGTATTGTATAATAAGGGAATGAAGAGAAGTACTGGTTGGCACTATGGTTCTGATCACCTCAACGAATTAACTTCTTCTTGTCAACACACTAGTGAATTATTAGAAGAAAAAATTCTTCTAAAAATTCTTACAAGAGATGTATGCAAACGTCATCCACGCGTTTTGGGGTGTCGTTTGAAAATTATAGTTCACCCAACACACATGTTGACTAAGAATGAAATTATTCTATTTTATGTATGGATAATATACAAAATTCAATTAAAAGCATCAAATTTATTTCCAAAACTTAATTACTTGTTAAGTGACCAACGTGGTCTAGCGCTGGAAAGGGGCATGCACTTGCAGACCATTGGTCTCATATTCAAACTCCCATGGCACCTTAATTTATAATGTGTTTGTGAGAAAACCCACCGCCCTTCTTAACTTTTCCAAATAATAATAATAATAGTTGTGAGTCAACCTTGAGAGCTCTAATATAAATCATCATATAATATTATCCGATTCAATTATTGATTATAGATCTTATTATTGGGTGATTGTAGCACCGCCGGTAATAAATTGTTCATTTATTAATACAATGTCATTAAATTAACTAAAATATCAGTTCATGTTATAACATTTAACTAATAACACGACCTGGTGTGACAGTCACACTCTAAAAATTTCCTCGAAAGTTAAGAGTGCAGACAAATATGTCCGTATGATAAACATCGGGGCCTCTAATTAATTAAATAAATTATTCTAATGATTCTTACAAGAGACAACGAGGTTAGGGTGTTAGAAAAATTTTGTTGACCCGACACTTGAGGCAGAATGGTGGAGTTCTTGTATATATATTTTCTTTCAAAATAATTTTGGACAGGCGGCCGGCGTCCAATATTAGACAAGCAACATCTCCAGATATTGGGAGGAGCTCCTCTTGATGCACATGCACCAGGAGTGGTCAACATGATTGCTGATTGGCTGGCTGGCTCTCCCTCCAAAGTCTAAAGTAAATTATTGAAAGAGAAAGCAAGGCAATCATCAATAATATATCGATGATCTGTCTCTTTAAACTAAAACGAGTTTCATATTGTTTGGCAGAACCTCCAAAGGGGAGGAGAGTGTTTGGAATTTAAAATGCCCAACAACTGATGCGATATTTCCACAATGTTCATCAATTGGATGAATGTGTGTGAAATTCTTACGAATATGTGTAAGTAAGACCATGCGGTGTGAGGAACGTATTGGAAGGGATAATAATACGCCGTTACGTGACAGGGGAGTCTCTCCATCCAAGGTTTTTTATTTCCCCCAATTTTTCTCCAGAGAGATTAAAGGTTCATATTCTCATCAGTGAACTTCTCACCATAGAACATGTATGATCATATATATTCAAATAGTCTAATCCCTGATATATATCAGAGTGTGCTTCTATTGAGGGATTCATCAAATAAGCTTATTTGAGAGGCATTCTTGTAGGATCCACTCTGTATTGTATTTCACTAATCCAAACTATCTATTTTGTAGATACTCATTTAAAGATCATCTCTCTACAAAAAATATTTGAATATGATATCATTTGACCACTCAATTAAAATAATTTAGTACTTTCTTGAAGTATCATGTTCTTTGATTTTGTACGACACAATTAGATATCGAAACGGTTTCCGATTTGTCTAATTTTTTAAGTATACTTAAAAAATAGATGGTTTCGATTGTTGAAAATATATTTGTAGGGGGCTCTAAAGGGTGTCCCTCAAATAAAATTATTTGAGGGATCTCTCAATAAAAGGGGACTATATATATATATATGATTTTTTACTATGCAGATGTTTGGATGTTATTACTTTGTAGACACTGTGTATTTTCTACTACCCCTTCGTGCATTTCTCTCTATTTACAATAGTGTCTGCACAATAATAACGCCCGGACTTTCATATAGGAGAATTTACGTATATATAAGATCCCAATTTCTCATATATAATACTTTGGGAGGAATTTTTGAACCAAACTAAACTCTAAATTCCAGGATTACAGTCATTTAAAGAAAAAAAAATCAAACCAAACCATTGAATTGATTTAGTTTGACCCGTTTGGACAATGTTTTGCCCAACTCTAGACTAAAATTTGCTTTGGCAGAGAGAGGAAACCTTTTTATTACATTGGAAAGGAAGAGAAAATTACACGTGATACACAGAATGATAACATCTCAATATGAGTAGTTTCAGTGTCCAAAATATCTAGAAGATGCTTAGGTGACCGCTCTAAATTGTCAAGTCCACACGATGCATAGCAAACCCAGAATTAAACCATTCAAATGCAACAACAACAAAAAAAAAGTGCATAAATTATTACATAGGCAATTCTTTTTCAAGCGTCAATAGTATGTTCTGAAGAACTTTGTAGGTGAGAGGGTTCCAGCTAGAGTTAGCCGTAATCTTATACTGCGGGAAATTACTGGTGACAACCGTCACTAAATCATGGTCAGAGATGGGGCTGCCAGCAACCCTAAGTTTGTCTGCAATGGAGTTTGTTCTGTTTAGGTAAGCCGAGATGGAGATATCACTCCTCTTGTGAAGAAGCTCACCGCAGAGCTGCAAAACTCTGTCGTTTTGAGACTGAGAACCGTAGCGCTTCTCCAACGACAGCCATATACTCCGCGAACAAGCAGAGGGAACCACCATGGACGAAACAGCGGCAGTAAGCGAGCCGTTGATCCAACTCTGGATCATCCGATCCTCTTTAATCCATGCATCGAATGCGGGATTAACAGTTTTGCCTTTTCCATCGGTGAGAAGATAGGCAGGACATGGCTTTGTCCCGTCCACATGACCCATGAGATTTCTACTTTTCAAGACGGGAATGACCTGGGCAAGCCAAAGAGGATAATTGGTGCCGTCAAGTTTGATTGGAAAAAAAGACGTTGAGGTGGTGGAAGCCATGGTGGATAAACAATCTTGCAAACAAGCTGTTTGGAAGATATCAAAGCACTTGTTGTTGGTGTTTCTTTCGGTTGAAAAGGTGATGGTGTATATATACATATATATAATATATACAAGTAGTTCATGCTGATGAACATTAGTTCACATCATTCCATAAGGTGTGTTCAGAGAACCTTTTGTCAATCGAAATACATATAGAATGTCAAATTTGTCCTTCAAGTAATTAAACAATATTTTTTTTCTTATTTTTGATAAATTTTATATGAAGTGACTTCGAACACACATATCGTGCGTTGATAGTTCTACTTAATCATTAGAAAACCTATTCTTCTAATAAATCTTAGAAGAGATGCATACAAACCCGATCAATGCGTTTAGGGTGTTTAGAAATTTTAGCTTGCCCATCACACATGATGATTAAGAAAGAATGGAATTATTCTGTTTTATGTACAGATAATAAATAAATAAAATACTGGATTTTATTTATGAATTTAGTTGACGGCAGCATAAATTAAATTATAAAGCTCTTTCTGCTTCATTTTATTACTTTGGACTTTGACTTTGGAGAGCCAGCCAACCAGCAAAATAATTTTATTTATTTAATTTTTAAAACATAGAAGAATTCCATTCTGTTTTAAATAATAAATGTGTTGGGTCAACTTAATTACAATTTTAAAACATCCAAACCGCGTTGATGACATCTCTTATAAGAAATTAATTATTAGAAGAAATCCATATAAATATATAAATTCAATTCTATAGAAAACGAGAGCACTCATCATCAAATTATAGTTTATGGATTTCATGATGATCAAACTCAAATACCAATTTATTTATTTTTTATTTCAAACCATTCGATCCAAACCGGCCTCTAAGTTTTATTTTATAAACACCGGCCTCTATAACAGAAAGCTAGTTGTATATAAAACACCATCACCTTTCAACTGAATGGATCTTAATTTGCTTGTTCAAGCTACTCCTTCGTCATGTACTCTTCCTCCTCCACGGCTCGTGTCGGGAACCTTCCTCCCATTGCTATCAAACTTGATGGCACAAACTACCCTCTTTGGCTTGCACAAGTTGTTCGTCACTTAAAAGGTCGAAATTTCATGGGCTATGTAGACGGGACGAAGCCATGTCCCGCCTATTTTCTGATTGATGATCAAGGCAAAAGTACTTTTAATGTTGATCCCGCCTTTGATGCCTGGATTCATGTGGATCGAACGATCCAGAATTGGATCAATGCCTTGCTCACTCCCTCTGTCTTGTCTACCGTGACTGACTCTGCTTCTTCACGGACAACATGGGTGTCTTTGGAGAGGCATTATGCTTCTCCAATCGACACCCGGGTTTTGCAGCTGTGTGGTGAGCTTCTTCATGCAGCTAGGGCTGACTACGTCTCCACTGCGGCTTACCTAAACAAAATAAACTCCATTGCAGATAATCTTAGGCTTGCAGGCAGCCCTATCGCTGACCATGATTTAGTGATCATTGTCATGAATGCCTTCCCAACATATGAGTTTAGCACCGCAGCTATAACCTTTGATTATCTTCAGAAGGTGCTGTTGAATCTTGAAAAACATCTGACTCAGCCAGGTGTGCCTGTTTATTCTCTTGAAACAGCCACTGCTCCCATCCATGCCTCACCATATCGTGGCCCAGGCGTCGATCCAGCTGGTTCTTCCCAGGCTGTTGGTCCTTCTAGTACTACAAATGCTAATGTTAATGGTAACAGTGCCTCACCTTCCAATAGTGCTTCTCGTCCTTCTCCGGCTGGTTGTTATTGTTGTATTTTTGGCTCACCGAAAGTGTTAACATGAAGTTTGGACTCAAGATCAGGATTGAAGAAAAGGCGTCAGGCAGCATTAGACGACACTGGATTGTATTGCAACAAGTCCTCGAGTGTCCAGTGGGATTTCTCAAATTGGCTCAAGCTTGCGATACAATAAAAGGGTGGCAAAGGTTGGCAGAGGGAGAGAGAGAGATCTTAAGATCTAGAGTGGGGTAAGGGTGAGATTGGTAACCAAAATTGTCTTTTTTTCATGCTAGTGAAATTTCTCGAGGTGAGCACCGAGGCTGTGAGGACGTACCTCGCAAAGTCTTGGTGCTGCTTTGTGTTATATTTATTTTTCTGTTTTAAAATTATCCTTTGTTTGTGGGTGTTTGAGTTAGGCAAAGTTATTACTAAATTCATATATACATGTTGATAACACCCTAGCTAACCAATCAGTTGGACGTTTCCGAAAGCTCTTGAAAAAGGAAGAGGAACCATCTTGAGGACTATTGCAATAGAGATTGCATCTCAGGGTAGAGGTGATATGTACATACACCTTAAGGGCATCCATTTGTTAAACATGTGGTTTACAATGCAATCTTCAATATGGTGCAAATGGCTTTACTCAAGAATTCTTATAGAAGTACTCTTAAGAGACTCTAGTCTTATGGATTTTTACATCCCGAATGATTTTTTTTTTTTTTTTTTTTTTTTTTTTTAAAGAATCAAAAAAATTTATAAGAACCTATCGATCATTCAACAAAGTTTATGCATTGAAGTCTTATATGTGACATGAAATCTTTTTGCTTTCAATTCGAACTAAGGACTTTATCGATGTATACAATATCTTCCGGAACCCATTTTTTTCTAAAAAGATCACAAAATTGTAATCCAGTATAAGAAAGCCTGATATGTAAAACAGAACAGAGAGAACACAAAAATGATGGCATCAGATTACTATAACGAAACTACGGAGATCTTTGTAGCATGACGCTTCTTTGGCCGAAGGAGAGAAGAGCGAGCCACTAGAGGAACAGAGAGAAAGAAGACAGTGGCGATGATGAGATTGAGCACCTTCCAACCTCTGCCACCGCTGTTATTGCTATTGCTACTCCTCTGTGCTGCAAGCGTGCAGTCACCCTGCTGCTCTTCTTCTCTGTCTGTATAGCATACAAAACACCACACAGTTAATGTGGAGTAGTGATTTTGAAGTGTTTCAGGGGGTTATCAACTATCAGCGGCCTAAACCTAAGTCAACAAATACGCCTGTGGTGCTAATTTATAAGTGTTATCATTATTTTCCTTTTTTTTTCTGAAAGTAGTTGGAACAAAATTAAATGGGACACTGAATAACACACCTGTGATTTGAAGAGAGTCCCTAATGAGGTAATTGGACCAAACCGACGCTCGCACATCCATATCAATAATCGTTGATGTAAGACCTTTAGGTAGACGGCAAAGGAAGTATGTTCCTGGCCTCACCTCAAAATTTGACAAATCTCCACCAATAACATAAGGATAAAAAGGATCTGTGTTGTTGTTGTGTTGGCTACTCATCATCTTCTCTTCTTGTTCGTACACAAGCTGCACGCCACACTCCTTTACCTGAAGCTTAGGTACGGTAAATAATGAAACAGTCACCTCATTGCCACGTTCTAATTGATTCCCAAACTTCCAGTGGCTTAACCATATTGCGTCTTCTCCGTCACCTGGAACCCCAAAGAATGCCGGGCCATAGATCCACTTCACGCCCTTGCTCTTATTGCTGACTTCAGTGATTATGGGATATGGAAATATTTCGAAATTGACATTAATCTTATGAGGAGAATCATTGTTGGATTGTGCATACACAGAAAAGATGTTCAAGCCTCTGATCATGAGATTAGGAAGTAAAGGCAGGGTAAAAGATATTGAGGACCCTGCAGTCCTATGGCTGAACTGGCCTGGAACCTCATTACCAGGTAGAAATGTACTGAATATCCCATATTGATATAGTCCCTATCCAGTGAAATTAAAATATTAGTCAAACGGTTGCATATGATATGATGTGTGTGTGTGTGTGTGTGTGTGCGAGAGAGAGAGAGAGACCAGGATCGGGCTGGGACACATGTTCTTCGGACTTGCTTGGGATTCGTATATGGTGGAAATCATAATGCTTTTGGTAGATTCTAAGTTGTTCAGCCCCAAAAGGTTGATCATTTCTACATCAACTTTTTCAAGGAGTTCTAACTTATAGCAGTATTCAATCTCAAGTAGCCTCCAGTTGGAGCCGACACGGATGCTTTCTGGTAGACATGCTGATTGAAATGATAAATTTTCCAATGATGAGCAACCTGACAATATCAATCTTCCTACAACTCTTGGTAGCCTTACAAGTGATCTGAGCCTCCAACAAGAGTAAAAAGAGAGTTGATCGAGCCTGGTAACACCCCTTACGCATTCTGGTAGGCCAGAAATTTGATTATGACTTAGATCTAATCTTCGCAACGAAGATAGCTGACCAAAATCCCTAGGAAAATCACCATCAGAAAGATTGCAGTCACTAAGACTTAAATCTACTATATTGCATGGTAAATAAGAAGCCCAACAAATTTCTGGAGTTTTTCTTGGCCATAAGTTGACCTCCTCATTGGTGGTGAGTAATCGATGTATTGGAACTCCATCTGCATGAAATACCTTCAGAGACTCTATCTTCCGCATCTCCATTGGAAGCTCATTAAGATTTGAGCAACCAGATATGATAAGTGTTTCAAGAGCTTTTAGCATACACATGTTCTTTGGAAGCTTCCTAATATTCTTGCAGTCTTCCATATTCCAATAAATGAGTCTCTCTAGGTCTCCAATGGATTCATGGACATCAACCAAGCTTCCACAGTCTTTAAGAATCAGTCTCTCCAGATTGGGGATATGCGAAAAGTCCGGGGTTTCAGCGAGGGCATTGGAATGGCTGAGATTTAAAATCTTCAGTGATGGGAGATACTGAAATAAAAATTGAAAACAAAAGGTGAAAAAAGGTATACCTAAATCTTACAACTGCATAATCAATGAGTGACCCAGAAAAAGGAAAAATAAGAAAGAAAGGATATAGTGTAGAGTAGCATACCTTTGTTCCCTTCCAGACTTGTCTCAAGCTTCCAGAGCAAATTTCAAGAACAACCAGCCTCTCCAAAGGAAAATTACTGGGTAAAGAATCCAAAGGAAATTCAAGCCAACACAACCATCTTAATCCTTTAGGAAATTCTTCATAGCATCCATTGAGTTGTACAGGGCCAAGCTGAAGCAGTTTTAATTTGTGCATCCTTGCAAATGCATTGGTTTCCAAACCGACTGGTTCCTTTGAACTTCTTGAAGGGATGTCTACTTCAGGGTGTGTATGCATGTTGAGGGCAAGACCTTCAATTGTTTGTGTACCCTAATACAAAAAGAGTAGAAAACAGTAGGATAAGTAACCAACATGGATGCACAAAAAGAAGAAAAAAAACATCCACATGCATACATAGGAGGGAGCACGTTTCTTACAGTATTTTCTGTCAATACTTGGAAAGAATCCTTATGATGCCATAACCTACTACGTTTCCCTGGATCTTCTGATTCTAGGCGAACAATACCTCTTCCCATGTCACGAATCATGTTATGCATCTCCACCTTATTGTCTTCATCAATTGTTACCAAACATCTATCAATCAGATTTTGAATGGCAACAGTTGTGTAGAATCCACAGTCATCTAGTATTCTGCTAATGACATATGTATCCATTCCAATAAAGAAACATGCAATATGAAGGAACAAACTTCGGTCATGGTCATCTTGCAAAGAGTCAAAGCTTATTCTGATTTTCTTTAGGATTTCATTGTTTGGAATAGCTTCCAATTTGTTTAACGCACTTTCCCAGACAGCTATACTTTTTCCTGATAGAGAAGAACCCAGAACTTTAAGAGCTAATGGAAGTCCCCCACTCTGACATACCACCCTATGCGAATGTGCCATGTAACCTACGATAGGATGCTCCTGCCCAAAAGCGTGCCAACTGAAGAGCTCCAATGATTCCGTGTATCCCAAAGTTGCAACGTTATGGACCTTAATAACTTTGTGATGAGCTTGTAACAACCCTGTGCAGCAAGTTGTTACGATGATTTTACTTCCTGGATAAAACAGATCTTGCATCCTAAGTATTGCATCTAATTGGTCCAAATGATCCACATCATCAAGAACAAGAAGAACTCTTTTAGAGCTAATAGTATCTTGAATCTTAATTATCCCCTCACTAACACTCTGTATGTTCACTTTTCTTCCATGCAAAATATCAGAAAGAAGTTGCCTTTGTATCTTGACTAAGCCATTGGATTGTTCTGAAACTTCTCTAATATTTTCCAAGAAACTGCTTCCTTCAAATCTTTTAAAGTTTGAATTGTAAACATATTTTGCAATTGTTGTCTTCCCAATTCCGCGCATCCCATAAATCATAAGTATGCTGACATCAGTTGATCCTTCTTGTAGCCACAGATTGATTTTTTCGACCCGAGAATGGATTCCAATCAGGTGTCGGGCAACACATATAGGCGTGCGACTTAGTCTGTCTTCAATCACTTTAACAACTTTCTTGATAAATTTTGACTCATGCCTAGATAATATGCATCAAAACGAATAATGAATCGAATACGTCTCATGGAAATAAGCTATAAAGTCTTATGGAAATAGATGCCAAAAGTCTTATGGAAGCAATTAAACTATGGAGTGTCATGGAAATAACATCATGAAAAAGTTCTTATTGCATATGAAAGGAAAAGAAAGAACAGAGTAACACAGAACCTACAAAAGTTAATCAAGATGAATGGAAACACCTAAACTGGTAAGTATTTCGATGATGAATCTAGAAGGAGATCACAAGTGTGATAAAAATTAATCAATGGAGTAGTTGGAATGGAATTTACCCATCAGCTTGATTTTGTAAGACCATCCCTGCTACATCTGCAACTTCTTCAAGTGCTGCCCTCCATCTGCTTACCCTGTCCAAAGATTGATTCTTTTGGTGTGCAGCAAATGCTTTTGCAAGACTTCCTGTCTGCCTCCTCACTTGGGATGGATCGACGTCGTAGAAGATTGGTAAAACTACATGTTCCTGAGAGCCACTCCTCTTATTGCGTTCAAGGATCATCACAAGCTCGTCAAGGCACCATTCGGAGAATGCGTAGTCTTTCGAAAACACGATGACACAGCTTTGTGATTGTTTGATGGCTTTCTCAAGCTCTGGCTTGATGCCTTGTCCTCTCTCGAGTTCATCGTCATCTCTAAAGGTGCGAAAGCCTGCATTGACAAAGGCTGTGTAGAGGTGGTCTGTAAAAGTCTTGCGAGTGTCTTTGCCTCTGAAACTCAAGAACACATGATATCTATATCCAGAAGAAGAAGAAGAAGTATTGGAAGAGGAAGCTTCTTGAGCCATTGGAAGAAGATGGAGATAACAAAATCACTTCTTCTTGCGGGTGTGGTTGAGTGGAAAGAGAGAGAGTTGTTCTTATAGTGTTGTTAAGGCTCCTTCTTGACGCGTTTAAGTTGTTGGGAAAATGAGGAGGAAAAGTTAGTTCTGCTTCTGCATTATAGAAAGCAAGCCATAGACGTGACCGTGGGGTTAGAGTTTTGCTTTTCTTCAAGCAAATCAGATCAGAAGCGCTTTTATGTTTGGAAAATTAGGACCCAGAGAGTGAAATCTCGGGACCCCCAATTGACTCTTTTTGCCCTTTAGTCTCTTAGTCAAGCAAAATGGAGAAGCAATTTCTCCTACATGACTTTAGGACCAGAAGTGCTTCTATATTGGCCCAAAATGGAGAGTTGTTCTTATAGTGTTGTTAAGGCTCCTTCTCGATGCGTTTAAGTTGATGGGAAAATGAGGAGGAAAAGTTAGTTCCGCTTCTGCATTAAAGAAAGCAAGCCATGGACGTGACCGTGGGGTTAGAGTTTTGCTTTTCTTCAAGCAAATCAGATCAGAAGCGCTTTTATGCTTGGAAAATTAGGACCCAGAGAGTGAAATCTCGGGACCCGCATTGACTCTTTTTGTCCTTTAGTCTCTTTAGTCAAGCAAAATGGAGAAGCAATTTCTCCTACATGACTTCAGGACCCGAAGTGCCCAAATGTGGGTCCCTCGCCCGCTCATGGATTAACCCAACAGAGTATTTTTAACTCAGATGAAAGTGAAAATGTAGTTCCTGTACTGGGTTTTTACAATCTTTTTAAAACGGGAAGATATGAAACCACTTCTTGCTTGGTGTCTTTTTGAGTTTTAGTGGGAAGGATATGTATACAAGCAGCTCGTGCTCATCAGTCATTCATGGAACCTCAAAATATGCTCCTTTCGGTCGTGGAAATACTGGCCTAAAACTTCACTAGCCCACTCTCTCATCCAACCCTCTGGAAGATTTACATATCAAAGAACCACTTGGTTGCTAGCTGGTGGGTCTTTCAGTTCAAAATTTTCCTTTCTTTTTTTTCCCCCCGTTTTGGGAGAGAATGCAGGACCAATGCTGTCAGCATAAACATGTTTCTTTTGGCAAACATAAAAAAAAATATTGGTGTTTTGATTGGGGTACCGCCGAATAACAATCTTGTTCTCCATTCGTACATGAGGTGCAGTTGTAGCACCTTTTTTTTAATTAGAAAAAGGCAAACGGATTCAGAAATTCGGTACGCAGTCCAATTTTAATCCGAATGTTGAAAATGGGAGGGCTGAAGATTAAAAACAAAACAAAAAATCACCAAAGCAACTCAAAATTCAGGCATCCAGGTATTTTCACAAAAATATTACTTATGGGTACAAAAAATGGAGGCTCGTCGCTCACCATTAGCCAAATGATACAAAATGATGGGCAAACAAAATTGACACAATTTCAACTTAAGGCATTTCACGGGCATACTACAGGCAGCTTATCAACATACATCCCCGACGCATAAACGGAAAGATAAGATGCATAAGAACTAATAATTTTGTTTTTTTTCCCTCGAGTAAGGAACAAATATAGCTTTTGCTCATACTTGAAACCACTTGGATAGCTATAGCACATGCCTCATGAGATACAAAATATGTGGCATGAAATGTATGCAACTTACAACTAAGAATCACCTCTCCATCACTACATGATCACTTCTCAATACAAGACTCAGTGTCCCAAAGATCTAGAAGATGATCAGACTTAGGTGACTGCTCTAAATTGTAAAGTCAAGACGAACAATGTCTTGCCACTGACGTAAACCATTCCAACAACAAAACTAAGCATTGTCACATTGAGTCCAGGATGGCTACTACACTGGCAAGACACAGCTTAAATCACTGAGCATCGTAGTCTAGCTTAATCCCTGTCATAATTATTTTCAGTATGGTCCTGTCATGTTTTTTCTCATCAAAAGGTGCCGACAAAAAGGTAACCCATAAACTGGACCACTTGCTCACTTACATTCTAGGGGAGGCTTCTCTCTCATGAGGGTTTAGTAAAACTGGACACTGAAAGGGATGGTTTCTGTAATTAATCACACACAAGGCAGCTTATACCTCTCGTTTCCAAAGTTTCCAACTTAGAGGGTACTAGGAGATAAATTATCCCATTAAATGCTAGTTACAAGCAAACCAGAAATCTACACATAGATAACCTAAATCGAAAAGGGGACCAAGAAAAGTCACCATCACGAGCAAACAGCAAAGAAGAATGATGTCATTCACACTGCAAAATGTTAACCAGCAGGAATAATGATTGTTTCAAATACCTATCATCACTGTCTTTCCTCTTCATGCACAAAGAATATTTCACTGATACCAGTTAGAATTCAGGTGAGAACCAACATAAGCCTAGACATTACATCTTTTTTGGATAATTAATGAAGTTAGCCATTGATACAAATAGGAATAAAGGAATCGTATATACAGTCTCTTCCTAACCTATTCTCCCTAATAATGGAAGCTACAAACTCTACCTCACAAACTATAAATTCTGGACTTATAAAAAAATGCAAAGAGATCGTAAAACCGTGAACATGCTACAACATCCAATGTGCCATGAAAACAGAATAGCAGAGTTTTTTTCAAATTACTGGCAGTCATATTAGATCATTGTTATAATACAAAGAAGTCCATTTCACTACTTTTACCTTTAATCCACATATTCTTTCAGCAGGTGAATTCACCTTCTTCACAATCTTTTGTCAGTTCAGAAGTTATTCTGCACATAAACGAAAAGCATCATGTATCCAAGCTTCTTGGCAAGTGATAACAACAATACAACTACTGCACATAAGCCTATAAAATAAGAAAAATTTTCAAAAGGAGAAGTGATGTTTTGGCATTCATATGGTAATTGTGATGAACAAAAATTGTACCGTAAACAGAGAAGGGTAATTATACAAAACTAAAAGGCCCAAAGACCCGCCAGTATTGCATAAATGACAGCATATCAAAACAGAACATTGTTATTACCATATAGATGAGATGAAGAGTACACATATATAGGGCTCGAGCATAATAATATTCTAAAAGATATTTTACTGGATAGTCTTATATTATCACCCAGCCAACGAGAAGGAGGCCAATAGGTAATACATGAACTTTATAAGTTGTATGATAACTTGAGATCGCAGCCCTACTTAATCCAAATGGCCTTTTTTCCAATCACTTTAGCTGCTTTACCCCAAGGTCAGAAATAGATAAATTCTTCACTGTACAATGCATTTGACCAACCTCAACTACGACATCTAACTTCCAAATAATAACAATATCTGTCTAACTCATTCTCTAACTTGCCTGCCAACTTATATTTCCGTATTCCCATGCCAACCTCAACAGATCAATATCAAAGAAAACAAAAAGCCATATCAAGTGTGACGAAAAATGAGGAGTTGAACCATCAGCATGAAGAGGTGAGATATAAAATGGAAACAATGCAAGGCAGATATTGGTGCATCTTTAATCATTTATTAAGAAGAAACTAAAAGTACAGAGTATCTTAATCTAGATATACAGGAAAGGTAAAGTTGTGTACCTCAAGAAACACAAAATCAAGTGAAAGACCCCTTGAAACTATGAACGACAACCATTGAAGAAAACAAAATTACTAAAGTATCCCATCATTTCAGCCAGCTACCCTGATTGCACCCACTTCATCAATTTTTGCGCTCTTATGCTGAAAAGTTAGTGAGAAACAAAGACATTGGTTAAAGGTGGATGGAAAGGAACTAAACAAAGAATACTGGGCACAATCATGTGCATCACAAGTAAAACATAAAGGTAAGGATCGGACATACAAAAGTTCACTTCCAAACAGAGTTTCATGTCTATATTACCTTACTTTTTTTGTGTCTGTGAACATCATTAAGATCTTCATCTCCATCGTGTTTCCTTTTCTGAAATTATACAAAGTACCAAAACTAAAGCATGTAAATCCTTCTGAATATTTAACTACATTTAAATAATAATAAACATTAAATTTGTTACTGGTAAAACAAAAAACTGTAATTAGATTGGTCAAAAAACAACAGCAGCTTACAACTACCCGGAAGCTTATTTTTAGTGCCCATGGGGAGGGGCAGGGGGGTGGGGACCAACAGTTGAGACCATAATATAGCTATTTGGACAAATTTTCATTATTTTCTTGTTTCTTGTTAATATTACCAAGTGCTTAAGAAAAGGAATGTAATCGTACGAGTGTACAATTTTCCAACCTTTTCATGGTGTTTCTTCGAGTGATCACCAGTCGATTCATGATGCCCGCTTTTCTCCTTTTTCTTCTCCTTGTCTTTATCTTTACTTCGATCTTTATGACGGTGTTTGTGCTTCTTGTGCTCTTTATCCTTCTCCTTATCTCTGTCTTTGTGCTTTTTGTGTTTCTTCTCCTTGTCTTTAGACTCACTCTTTGATTTCGCTGCAATAGTTGGAGTCCCCTTATCGGCCTATAGAAGACAAAACATATCAAATACAATGAGAACCTGGAAAGGAAAACAATTTTGCAGGACCAGTATTTATTGGAAAAGAAGAAACTTCACACAACTGTCGTCCAATATAAGTAAGAAACTCTGAAACTATAAAAAGGAACAGCAATAGGAATAACTACAAGTAGAATTCTCACGAGTGGCAAATCAATAGGAGCTGTTTCTCTAAGATGGAAAGCCTCTCTGAGAATATCTAGGTCAAAAGGCTGTATCCGTGGTTTACTGAAATATGATGTACTCTGAATAAGTTGATCCAACTGCATCCCATCTCCTTTTCTAATTTCTGTGTCTCCCACCACATTATGAAGATAATGTGTGTCTGAGATTGATACAGGAAGTGATCGCTTGCAGAAAAACTCATGGTGGGGAAGCAACTTGTAGTGACTTATGAGATCTACAGCACCGGTCAGCTCTTTTGGTCCTATATCCAACAGCATATCATCAGATAAAATAAAATACTCTTAAACTAATAGAAGCAAAAGAATTATGTTGTCAACTAGATTGGAATAAGTATATTTTCAGGGATATTGTTATGAACTATTGAGCTTCTGAAATTAACCAGATGGATAAGGGTGGGCAAGTTCAAAATTCAGTGCTATACGTGAACAAATGAGGTTTTGAAGGGTGCTTCAGCTATGAATACTTTTGTTAAATATGCCACTACAAATAAAAGATACAACTATAGATGAAGTTAAACCAAAAAGGGAAAAGGAGAAACCCCGTGATAAAAGCACCGTATTAAAAACAACATTCTACCTTGTCCAAACTTTGTTCCTTCAGGATCCATGGGTCAATGTCGCATGAAGTGGAAAGACGCTAACAACTGTGATGTCACAGACAAAAGATAATATGAGGAATCTTTGACAACCATAGAAACAGCAAGAAGATATAAAACCCAAAATATAAAAAGGTAACACATTTGCAGTGTTTCTCTGTTACATTACAGTAATATTTGAGTACATATTCAGATAAAGTGGTTGAAGGTTCATGACAAGGTTTTCATAACTAGCCTCTTGTGTGACGCTAGAGACATCTATTTTCCTGTATAATTCCGAAGACACCTACCACTTCCATTCCTATTAGAGACCCTCACATATCTTTGCCCAAAAATGGCCGGGGCTGCATACTAAATCGTATACTTCATAAGCAAGCCAAAGTAAATAATATCCAGCTTCCTGTGCTTATTTCTCTACTCTGGACCCCACATAAAACAGGGCCACTAATTAATCAGGGGATGCTTTCAGAAACTCAAAGGAAACCACTGAAGAAATTAATGTTGACTCTTGAGCAAGGCAGGCGGGTGACCCCAAAAGAACTCGGAATACTCCCTTACTAATTCAACAAAGCTTTTGCTTAGGTTTTCCTACTACAGATTCGACAATCAGCAAGCAATCTATGACTATCACTAATTACTCAAAGGACACCACTGTCGTAACTGAACTAGGGCAAGCAACTAAGTATGGGATGAGGTTTCAATTTCACTACCAATGACACAAATTTGATTGCCATATTTTCTTAACTTCGAGAACATTAGTAGCCACATTTAGCCATCCCAATATAAAATGCTAATTATTTCTTACAAGGCTAAGCTTTATCCTTCAAAGATTTCTCCTTTCTGTGTTTCTCTCTTTCCGTCAACAAATCTCTATTGTTACTGAAACTACCCAATAAATATGAGACGAAATCAAGCAACTTTTAAGATAACCCAAAGCAAATCTTTGGACAAACAACAAAGGGTAAGTCTCTAAAATATTGATATTATCAACAAAAATGTCTTTGGAAGAAGAATCAATTACATAGACTTCAAAACCCAAAGAAACAAAAGAAACATAATATTTTGAACTATTGAGAGAGAAAAAGGGGGGGAGATTAGTCAAGCAAAGCGCAGACCTCTGACATGGATCCCGAATTGCTCTTGAACTAGCAGTAACCCAGATCACGAGGCCAAAACCGTAATTCCAGCTCTTCCTCCCTGCTCTTTGCCCACTGGTCCAACCCGGTAGTCCCACACTTCAAAAGCTGCCAAATACAAAAAATTCCAAAACCCAATTGAGTGATTGACCGAAACAGCTCAAACAATCAAAACGCTCGTCAACAAAAAGAGGCGCGTAGGGTTATCGAATGCGAAATTGACCTGCGAATTGAAGCAAATTGCGGGGTTTCCAATCTGCTGGGGTTTGGGGGTTCGGAGGAGTGGAGCTGGAATTGTCAAGTTCGGCTTTTGCAGATCGAGAAGCTTCGAGAAAGAGCGAGAGAGAGAGAGAAATTGGAGTTTTAGAAGGTGGTGGAGAACAGTGGTGGAGGGAGGGAGAAAGTAATGCGTATGTATATATCCAATTCTAATGATATATATAAATCTAACTAAACTAGGGTTTGGACTTTGGACTTGGAGGGGTTTCGTTTTTATATTTCCAGGCCTTCTCTCTCTCTCTCTTTCCCTCTTTTGGTTCGGATTTTGGGGTTTCTCTTTTATCTTTTTTGGGTCTTATTTTGGAGAGTGGACGTTCGTTATTTAGAGCGCCGCTATTACTACTACCAAAATATGGCGCTGTTTTTGGATTTTATATTTCACACAAAAAAACTTGTTCAACCTTTTTGCTTTTGTGAGTGGTTTTGGGATGAAAGGCAAAACCTTTGAGGACAAAAAGTAGAAAACATTCTATGGTACACTTGATGCATCATGCATTTAGTGTGAGGAGATGGCAATACAGTTAGCACCACATGATTGCCATATGATATGAGGTTGGTTCTTATTCAAAACGAAGGTAGTTGTTTGAGTGAGGATATGGGATTTGTTTTTTCTTTTTATAATTGATGTGTAAGAGATCTATACTATGAGGGTGTTAAGTATGACACGTCGTATTGGAGTATGGGCCTTATAACATCACTGTCCATTAATAAATTATTCGAAACAAGTTTATAAAAACGTAATATCATTGAGTACGGGAAGGGGGATTCGAACACGGATGTATAGTGAGGAGCACATTCACTCTAACCAATTTGGCTGAGTCTATGTCTCCTCATTCATTACGTTCTTAAGTTATACCTCCTCAAAGTTTTTACTCTTATTGTTAGTGTAAATCAATCATTGAGTAAAAAAAAAAAAAAAAAAAAAAAAAAAAAAAAAAAATGAGAATTTTTTGTTTTTATAATGGTAAACTTGGAATAGTGAACTAAAACTTAAACACCAAAAATGCCCCACCAAAAATTTAAATTACATGAATTAATAAATACATTTCATGGGGTGATTCAAATACAAACCTAAACAAATAATATTTACCAGAAATCAGCCCCAAAAAATATAATATTTACCAGAAATAAAATTTTAGTTTTGACGATAAGATTGAGTGATGAGGCAGAAGGAAGAAAGAAATATGAAATTAAATTAAAAACAAAAAATCATAATAAATTATAATTTTTATTTTGCGTTTTTGTGTATTATATGAAACTCGAAAAAACAGAACAAAACAAACCGCGAAAAAGGAAAAAAACAAAAAAACGAACTCTGGTTACAATTATTAGAGAAGAAGCCGTGCCTTTTTGGTGCTTTCCTGTTCTCATACGTCACGCAAATGACAAATCTACCCTTGTTGCGCCCATATAAACCAACCACACCAGATGCCTCTGAAATTGACCAAGTTCCTCATATATTTGAAAATGGGTATCTTCTCTGCCCAATTTGCTTATGCAGTAGCATTGATAGTAGCAGCTTCGTTGTGTCTGATTGAAGCCAATCAAACTGCAATCGGAATTGAAATTGGAAGCAGAGGGCAGAGAGAGTTCGATTACTTCAACTTGGCCCTGCAATGGCCTGGCACTTTCTGCCAACGCACCCGCTATTGTTGTTCATCCAATGCTTGCTGCCGAGGGTTCATTCTCTCTTCCCTCTCTGTTTTTAAAGTTTCTTTCTTTTTTCGTTTTGGTTGATTTTAATTTGGTTAATTAGGTTGGTTTTCCTGTTCATGGTCTGTGTTGATTGATTTTGAGGTGATTTTTATACTTTGGTTTTTCTTATTCCAGCGCAAATTCTCCAACCGTGTTTACAATCCGTAAGTTACCAACATATAATATTTGTATATTGCAAGGATGGAAAGCATGACATAAGTTGATTTTGCACTTGAAGTTAAAATATTTTGGTGGGGCATGTTTGTTCGTAATTTTGGAAGCTAATTTCTGCTCTTCAAAGTTCAGAAAACACAAAATGTCCATATTAGTGAGTAGCTTTGTTTTTGCGTTTTCAGAAAGGGAAAAAAAAAGAGATTGCTTGTTACTTTTTCTTAAAGGACACAACCTGAAAATCCAGGAAGGGGTTTCAAAAAAATTTATTTCACTCATGATCAAAGTCGGCCAACCCATATTTTATCCATTGACTGTTTGCTTAATGAGAAATATACTAACCACCATTCAATATGTGAATGGTAGATGGATTGTGGCCTGACTACAATGATGGAACCTGGCCTGCCTGTTGCACACAGAAAAGCTTTGATGAAAAAGAGGTGTGTATTTTTAATTTCATGTCTATATGGTTTTGGGGGTCGTGGATATTTAATAAAATAGCTCACAGAAAGGAATGAGTAACCCCCAAAAGAAAGATTTTATTTAAGCGCATGATTAATATGTATTATATAATGAACGTTCTGATTGATGGAATAAAGTACCAACACTCATGTCGCGCCATCTTTGACAAGGCTTAGACAGCACTGTCCATGTTTTTATTATAAAGACATCATGTGACTTGTATTAATTTTCAGCTTTTACAACTTTGTTTCCCCCTTAGAGATATATCTCTAGTAGTGGCAGTATCTCACCACTCTCTCTTTATGTATTGTGTAGATCTCAACATTGCATGATGCATTAGAGAAATATTGGCCGTCTTTAAGTTGTGGTAGACCATCATCCTGCCATGGTGGGAAAAGGATCATTTTGGGGTCATGAGGTAATCATCAGTTGTGGACTTATTTTGTTCTCAAATTTGTTATGACCCTAACTTTGAGCTAACTATTTTTCATTCTTATCTTTCCTTCATGACTGAATTGCACGATATTACAATGGCAGTGGGGTAAACATCTTTATCTTTTGCTCCTTTTCTTTTTCTTGGAATGCATCACATGTACAAGTTCTTATTTCTGCGTTGGTCTTGCTCATTTTTCATTTTTCATTGTTTCTTGCAGAGAAGCATGGGACTTGCTCCTCTCCAGTAGCTCGAGATGAATACAGCTACTTTTTGACAACCCTCAATGTCTATTTTAAGTACAATGTCACTGTAAGTTCCAGATATATTGTAATCTGTACATGGATGATATCCCTGCCATGTTTTCCACACTTGGCTATATCCATAATTTGTGGTTCTTATTTGTAAATTGGTTTAACGTTGGAGTCTATCTATTTTTGTATTGGATGTGTAATGGTAGTTTCCTTACCCTGTGTGCAGAAAGTCCTGAATGAAGCAGGATATGTACCTTCAAATACTGAAAAATATCCTCTTGGAGGCATTGTTTCTGCTATTCAGAATGCTTTCCGGACAACCCCAAAGTTGCTTTGCAAAAAAGGTGCTCTGGAGGAACTTCATCTATGCTTCTACAAGGATTTCAAGGTTAGAACTCCCATCTAGAATTTGCCTTTGATCCTATATCATATTGAACCAAAGAATTAAACACTTCTTGTAGATTGATTGATTGAGGAGTCAGACCCAATTGTTGTGGTGGTTAATAGTGATGCACTTTGTCAGTTTATTTACTTGAGGCATTTTGGATAATTGAGATTATTTGAGATAGACATGGAGGACAAATCCCAAGGTCCACCTTTATTTATGGTCTTTTGTTATGTGCAGAGGTTTCCTTACGTATTCTAAATGTTTCATGTTATTGCAGCCTCGGGATTGTGCGATTGGATCTACCAGTCCAAATGGCAGGCTATATTCAAGTAGTTCATGTCCTGATTACGTCAGCATACCAGCATATGCATCAATGGGTAATTTTCTTTAAACCCCAATTATCTGATAGTATATTTATTTGTGCAGCTTAGGTATGTAATTATTCTTTGAATCAGATTTTGATTTTGAAATGTACATTGTGCCGATAACATGTGGTGTAGATGTGTTTTTTACTTACTATGGCGCTAGGTAATCTGGATCCAGGGACCACCCATAAGGCGGTTCAGTTATTTGCTCCATTAGGAATTGAACCCAAGGCCACTCTGTCAGAGTAGGGAGGGCATGAATATTGGGGGCAAGCTCGTTGTCAGGAAATATTTCTAGTTGCAACTGTTTATGCTTGCTGGCTTTTTGCATCTTCTTATCTTTCCTAGAATCTTTCTTCTATGAACTGCCTGTCCTTTAGGCCTTTCACATAAACTTTACGAAGACAAGAAAAGGAAAGTCTAAATATATGATAGTTGTGTTTGTACTTGTGTCTTCAGGCGATTTGGGGCATATTTTCGTGAGTGCATCATTTTTGAACCTTAAGTTATCATTCAACCGTTCTAGGATTCACAGATCTTTCTGAGACCTAATCATTCCAACATTTATGTTAAGATTAATTTATCATCGAACATTTATTCTAGCGTAATATATTATTGAATATTGTTACAGGGTTGTATATAATTCCAGTTCAGATTAATTTATTCTTTTTTTATGTTCAGGGCTTGGCAGTGGTGAAACGGAAATTTCAAGTGCCTGATGCTGATGTTCTCTAAGATCTTGGCGGGTCGACGTGTTGTAAATTACTCAATTCAGTTTGTGTAATTCTTGAGCACAGCTACAAAATTCATAGTCGATCTCTATTGTTTAAAATTCAGATCCCAAAATTGGAAAAGATTGCTTAGCATTGCTCCTATGAATTTGTATTCTACTTCATAGTTTATCTGTATGCTACAATGCGGTGTAAATTCAGAACCCCAAAATAAATAAAAATGGGAAAAATTCTTTACTCTCTCTCTCGTTCCCTCTCTAAAATAACATATTCGATGTCTTCAATGGACCATTGAGGTGGTTCAGCCGCCCATATATTCTTGCTTTCTACTTCACTGCTGCAGCCTGCGTCTTGTTTACCCATGCCATGGAATCATTCCAAATTGCACTGTGGGGAGAAGAAAAAAAAGAGCAACAAAAAGGTTGGTCTTTATTAAGTGGACTCTTTCTGTTAGAAAAATGATACACCAAAGCAAATGACAGCAAGGTTGTCCTACTCTCTGTGTTGTCTTGTTTGACCAGACCTGTAACTTCAACCATTTTGTGAGTTATGCTTATGATGGCTTTCCCTTGCGTAAATGCTGACAGTGGGACAAATATGACTTGTTATAAGCTTTGAACAAACCCATTCTTCCATATGTCACAAATATGAGCTGATAAGCTTGGAAAGTAGTAGTTTCTATATCAGAACAACAATGATTGGTCATGTGGCTTACCTAATGAATATATTTCATATAAGTTAAACTTTTGTATTACAATAATAATTCTCTGCGCACAAAGTATGGCAATAGCTTTCAATTATTTATCAACTCCATTAGAAAAATGATCATTGTCAACTTCTTCCAGGTGACATACATTGAAATATTGAATCCATCACCCACTACTTGGCCTGTTTTATCCCACCTCTCTACAAACAGAGAGAGAAAACCAGAGAGAGAGAGAGAGAGAGAGAGATGAAGACAACCCAATTCATAATTTTCATCCTCATCATCACCACCATCTTTGGCTTATCAGCCAAAGTGAATTCAGAGACAGATTCTTGCAGCTCAAGTCTCAATCTGCAGAATGTCAATTTGCCCTTTGATACAGCTTCCCTCCACTGCCTTTCTGTTTGGGATGCTCACAATTACATCCTCAGAGTAAGTCAACCACGTCCTCTAGCTTCCAAGACTAACAATTATAATCTGCATATTCATCTTAGGCTCATTTGATAATGATTCTGGATAAGCCAATAATCACTTCTATGGAGAATCTCTCCATATAATCACTTTATAACAGACCCTTAATTACAACAATAATCATGATCATCAAGGTGGTCTAATGGAAAATCTCCATTTTTTTTTTCTGCAGTACTCACAGACCTCATCAAACATATGGACCTTTGTCCTCTCAACACCAGCTGTAAACTCATTCATAGCAATGGGGTTCTCAAGCAATGGACAGATGGTGGGGTCCAGTGCAATTGTGGGGTGGGTGTCCTCAACAGAACGCACGATCAAACAATATTTCTTGGGTGGGACTTCAGCAAACCTTGTGGAGCCTAACAAAGGGAACCTTCAGGTTGCTAGCAACTTCTCTTTAATTTTATCTCAGTCCTCTCGTCTGTACCTTGGCTTCCAGTTGGAGACCAGCCAGCCACAGACAAGGCTCCTATACTCTGTTGGTCCAGATGGGTTTCTGCCTGTGGCACCAGACTACAGGTTGATCCAGCACAGTGACAAGTTCTCTACCTCCATAAATTATATCACAGGTGAGTTACATCATCTCAACTCACCCATGTTAATTAAGGAGGAGAAGTTACCTTGCACTCAACGTCAGAAGTTTGATCTCCTTCTCTAATATCACTTGTATCAACCAATTTTTTTTTGGGTTTTGTGTAACATCAGGCTTTAAGTTTGATTGGTGGAACATTGAAAGTAACTGACTATCTGCTTCTTGGCTCATTTTGTGGTCCTATTAAACTCAAAATCGGTTTGGAATTTGTTTTATATGGAAAAATTAAGTGATCATGGACCCCTTGAATAATTTCATATGATGTATTTGTACCACTACCACCCACCTTGTCCCATAATTCAAATCGATTGTGATGTGAAAGCTATATAGGTAGGTTTGGATATATAGAGGCATTGTAATTTATCTTGCTAAACCTACGTCGTTTGTGAATTTTAGACCACATGTTATGATAAGAATTAATTTGATTATGGATCTAAATTGATAGTTTGACAATATAGAGCACCGTCTTGTTTGTGTTTAATATGTGTTCAACAATATTTATTTGACAACATAAGTCTGGCAAGACATCGTTACCTAAATAGTTCTTCGCTCCACAGGTCAAAGCACATCGAGCTCACAAAGTCCATATTCAAAACTGAGGAAGAGCCATGGAGCGCTGAACATGCTAGGATGGGGCATTTTGCTGATAATTGGAGTAATAGTTGCCCGTTACTTAAAGCCATATGATCCACTTTGGTTTTATCTTCATACTTGCATTCAATCATTTGGGTTTATATTCGGAATAATAGGTGTTGTATGTGGATTTGTCTTGAACAATAAGCTCAATGCTGATGTCTCCACCCACAAAGCTCTTGGTATCATCATTCTTGTGCTTGGATGTCTTCAGGTTTGTCCTCATTCTTTCTTGTTTTTCATCCTTTACCTCATTACATCTACTTCAGGGGACATACCCTGTTGTCATGCTGACGTGGTATTAATAGACTAGTGTCACTAGATAATGCTATAGGTTACATATGAAAGACAAAATTTTCGAGAAATTTTTTTATGTGTGACTGTAACACCATTACACGGTTTGATGTTTGTTGATTATAGGTGATGGCCATTTTGGTTCGACCAGAGAAGGAGTCGAAAACACGAAAATACTGGAATTGGTACCATCAAGGCGTGGGAAGGATTCTCATCATTTTTGCAATAGCAAATGTTTTCTATGGGATTCATTTAGGAGAAAAAGGAAAGGCATGGAATGCTGGCTACGGAGCTGTTCTTGCTATTTTAGTTGTTACTGCTATTATTTTTGAGTTAAGATTGTGGTTTAAAAAATAATGAGAGTTTGTGGGGTACTCTCTCTTATTTAATTATTATTAGCATCGCTAATTGAAAACTTTCTTGTTGATTAGCGTAATATTGAATTTGAAGTGATACACACCATTATGGATATTGCCTTTCACAAATTTTTATTATTGCAGTTTAACTAGGGTGGGCACAAAAATGTCCCAACTATTCAAACCGGCCAAATCAAACTAATTCGAACCGTTCGATTCGGTATTTTCTTTTTATAAGGTGACTAACAAGGAGTGATTAACATAAATAAATATTTTATATATCTTCTAATCCCCATCCCAAATGACAAAGAAAGTCAAACTAGCATTTTTATTAGATGATTTAGTCACATAGACCTTTTTAGTTTGTGTTTAGATTGGGCGATTTGGTAATATCCATGTGGTATAATGTGTACAATAAGACACTGAATAAATAAGATGCTATGCATTTTGTTTGTTTTTTTTTATGAGAATAAGATACTATGTATTTTGGAGAGAAAAAAAAAGAAGGTAAGATTCAATGTATGTTGAAGTATTCCATTTAGGGTTATCTGGGGAATACTATGTAAGACTAATTTATTTCACATACTATTTTTATATTTTTTTATATAAGCAATGTTGGGGGAGGGGAGGAATCGAACCTAGGACCTCGTATGCAAGGATAAATGCTTACCGCTTGAGTTACTAATCCATCGTTCTTCTATCCACGCACACTTTTCAAGACATGTAAATTTCTAGTACATTAAAACGATCATTGTTCGGTCTATGCATTGCAAGTGAACTTTTAGTAATTGTGTGACACAGTGTATGTATTCGAATAGAACTTTTAGTACCTTTAGAATCACTCTGGATTACAAACCTAAACATAAATACACATAAAATCAGATTGTTAACCATTCTACAAGCTTCCATGCCATTTTTAAATCCCTTGTTATGGAAATAAATCCAATAATTTTGAACTGTCACCAACCTGACAGTATATAATAAGGTTGTCATCACACTCAGGTTTCCACATCAGTTTCTTGCAACAGATTTTCGTTTTCCTCTTATCTTGTTTCCTTCCTATCAAACTTACATGTATTGACTGTTTCTGGTGTGGTAAAAATTCTATTGCATTAGCACTATGGCTGATTCAACTCCCCCCCAAAAATCACAGTGCTAGCTCAATCACCGGCATGAAGAAAAACCCTCCTGCAGTTCTTGCAGACATGGCCCGACACGATCCAAAGCGAGCGAAAAGGTGTTGTTTTCGATGATCTGTAATGCTGAAACATATTTTTCTTCGAAACGCCAGTAATGAACCCTTTAAGCAAATGCAAAATGGCTTGAAAAATGTGGCAGGATTATGACGAACAGGAGGTCAGCTATGAAGGCAAAGCAGAGGAAGAAGATGTATGTCAGTGCGCTTGAATATAACTTGGAAAGGTTGTACTGTGAAGCGGCTGCTCTGTCTGCTCGGTTGAATCTATGGATGGTAAATCAACATCATTGGCACCCTTCAAGGGAGAAACTTAGTATGTAATAATGAGCATTAACTTTTTTGGTTTTGTGTTTCTTTATTGAGCAGACAGATGCCCTTTACATACATGCAGACAACAAGAGACTGAGGCAATGCCTGCACCATATTGTGCAACAAATTCGATTGCAAGACAGTAAGGACTATAATATTGCAGACTCACAGCCTAATTATTCAACTTGAAAATAAGTTTCTTGACAATGAATTTAGTTCACAGCTCAGGATCAGAGACTGATATTTTTCATGTTTGCTGACAGCCTTGATGGATGAGACTCAAAAAGAGATTCAAGATCTGAAAAGATTTGTTTGGTCACACAAGACCTCAAAAAATTGAATGGAGAATTTGGTCTGGATGAAGGGACTCAGAGCAACTTCTACTCATCTTCTTGAAAAACAGCAATAATATGTAATTGAATCAGCCCTTACCCACACAGATGTTTTCTTCACAACTTCTGTATGATCTTGAACAGCAGCTGGAGCAACATTGTTCCAGTGGAAATTATTTTCTGAATCCAAAATGGTTATGTTTTTTCATCAACATCATCGACATTGTCCTTACATCGTTGACATAATATATGTTTCTTGTGTGGTTGTATCATTCAAATTTGTTTACTATAATGGATTTTGACTCAGTAAAAGAAGAAACACAATAGTTTCTTGTGTGGTTGTGTCATTCAAAGATTGATTTCACTAATAATCCATATGAAATTCATTACGTCAAAGCAATGAAATACTTATCGATCCACCGAACACTGTACTGTAAAATTAATTTCATCATCATTTCAATAAATATTTAGAAAAATTACAACTCCTTTAAGGATATCATAGACATTTTCATGTCAAATAAGTCAAATTTCTTTTCGTCCAATATAATCTAAATGCCCACATAGGCCCCTATACACATTTTTTCTTCTTCCTTGATGGTAACATCACTCCTATAACATTTGAACAACTCTATTGCTGTTGAAGTAATCCTAGAACAACCGTTCATGTACAGAACAGAGAGCTGTTTGCAACCATTTTGCAAAGCCAGTAATCCACCATCACATAGACTCCGACACCGGTTCACATGGAGTTTCTCCAGTTTGTGGCAATTCATCCCAATAGAAGACCAACCAACTATCCTGACCCCATGACACAATGCCAAGTTCCATTCCTCAAGTAGTGGACAACCTTCTGCAATTGCTACAATAGACTCATCGCCAACAGTTCTGCACAGCCGAAGGTTAAGAATTTTAAGGCTGAAGGCAAAACCACTCCCAATTGTTGCCAAACCATTTCCACCATTGGACAAGATTAAACCGGATATATTTAAATATTCAATCCCACCTCCACTTACAATTCCCGAAATGCCCTCTGACTTGAGCTTACATGATTCAGCTTCTACATAAGCTAAAGTTGATGAACAACCTTTAAAGCCAATACCAGTTACGCCCTTACAATGTGATATCTTAACGGCCTGAAGTTGACGACAGCCTTGTGAAAGAGCTCTTAACCCATGATCAGTAATAAAATAGCAGTAAGAGAGATTCACATCCTTTAAAATTGAGCAAGAATTAGCCAAACTTTCTAACCCAAAATCAGAAATTTGGCAACGGTAAAGGCTGATCACTTGTAATGATGGACAACCAGTAGCTACCACAGACAACCCACGATTAGTAATACAAAAACAACATTCCAGAATAAGGGTGTGCAACTTTGACCCATAATTTACCAAATGGTCCAAGCTTGAATCAGGTAGCTCTGTGCAGCCAGATAAGGACAATGAGTGTAAATGCTGAAAGCGAGTAAGCAGCCTATGGAGATGATAGGTGCTGATGTTAACATGGTTATTCGAATGTGATAATGAGGAAATGTCAAGCTGGCTGAATGAACATTGAAAATGTAAGGACTGACGGCTAAGATTTTGAATACGAAGACAGCGATGGCAAGTCAAGCCAAAGGATTCACGGTCAGAGCTAGAATCAAGGCATTGGAAAATAAAAACGAGACAATCATCAGGAAGGTCCATGATGGAAGTAAGAGCATTAGTACTAGAACTACAAGTAGGTTGCATCTTAGCACTCTTCAGAAGGCTGTAGAGCTCGTATTTTTACAGTGAACTTTCTGTAAGCTGAAGTAGATGAGTTGGGAGAGTCAAAACCACAAAGAGCAGAAGAGTCTCCATAACCATAACCAATATGAACCCCACATTTACGGCAGAGGAGTTTAGTCTTTGAACGATAACGACCCCAAGAGACAGGAAAACAGTTTACCTCATCAACCTGCGTGAACCGACTAAGATCAACTGTGAGGAATGAAATAAAACCTTTCTTGACGGACTTTTGATACTCAGAGCCAATGCCAGAACCAGATGTCAAACGATTTGAAGATGACAAGTTCAGAGGGTATGCACAAGACCCACAACTGTAATGAATTCAAAAAACAAAAACAAAAGAACCAATTTCAGCATAACAATCAAGTACTGGCACCCATTAAAACAAATTAAAGATAGCAGATCATGCACATTTGGGCAATGTTCAATTTTACGAAACAAGGTGCATTTAAACTTTATTTAAAGGTACTTTATAAAGTACTAGAATCAAGCTTTGGGAAACACCCAATGACCCAATGAGATGAGACTGATGAAAGGTCAAACCTTCATCTTCATCACAAATGAATGCAAGTAACTTTTTGGGTTCATCTCAAGTCCCCACCTTTGAAAACAAAAGTTATTAGAGTGAGAAGATTAACATGAAACTTGACAAAGGATTCAAATTGGGTGAAGAAATGAAATGACAACAGATTCAGATTCAGAACAATGGAATTGGAAAATTACCTATAGGACACTTCAGCTTGGGACATCCTCACTCACCCAAGATCAGACCCAACTTTCCTCCGATTCATTGAAATAATTGTTGCCAATACCAGACCCAAGTTGTCTCTTTTCTTTGGGATATTCGTAAATTCTGTTCTTACCTGGTCAAGGGATTTGCCGGCTTGTCATATGAAACTGGAGACTCTGTGAGAGATGACAAGTTCTTAGACCCAAACAATGTTACATGGGCCGGAAGACTTGGGCTGGTTCTGGCCTGCCTTGAACTATTTATTTAATCTTTTTAAATTAATAATACTGCTTACCTACTTTTCTGTAAAGAGATACTCCTCCTCATTGCGAATCACAATTTGACATATATGCAAAAATAATTCCTAAAAAATATATAATAAAAAAAACCTTATGCACACATATCACATTGCTATTTGCTGGAATGCAGAAACTTCTACTTACATGATAAGAAGAAAAGTATTTTCCTTTTATTAATGTAACCTTGAATTTCATTTGTATTTTGAATAATTTACCATATACATCATTCTAATTTTTTAAAAGGCAACTCTTAGCAAAATAAAAAATAATTTTTTTTCGAAAGGGAATTTCTGAATGTTTCCAACGACGTATGTCAAAGGGAGGTGCCAACCATTACCATGTTAGTTCTTTTCTTATTGATCAATACATCAAGGGGCGTAATGATAAATTTCTTAGCTTTTTTTGGATGATACGTATACTAAATTACTAATTAAATTCTTGAGTGCCATGAGCCCAAGTAACCTTAAGCAGTGTTTGTATTGTGTAACAAGATGATGTAAGGTAAGAACTTACTTAGTGTGACACAAATTTTCCTTGTTGGCCTCAACAATCCCTAGTTCTACACAAACTATTTGGCAGGAATTCTCAAAGTAGAGATACCTTTCTTCCTTATGGCTGCAAAGCAAGGTATTTTGCCAACTTGTAATAAAGCTTCAACCTTTTTTAGTGAACAAGAAAACTTAAAACTTTGGGTTTATGAGAACATATTTTCCATTTCAACCTCAATCATAGTCATTTTGGCGACCTACAAACATACAAGATAAAAGGGACAAAAAACTATTTTAATGAGGCTTTTCTCCCTCGTCAAAAAGTTAAATGATTGTAAAAACTTACACATTATTTGACAAGTATGTTCACAAGTAAAATATTGAGTCAAATTCAAATGCTGAATCGCAAGATGTGAGATGTTGGCGACCTGAAATACATAGTTAGTCGTCTAGCTTTCCTTCGCTTACTAATATATTATTTGATGATCCCAACATGAATGAGAACTTTTTTATAATCGTGATATAAATCTTGTTCGATCCTCGTATGATTAGGGTATGTGTTGGGAATGATTTTGAAAGGGCTAAAATCACTTTCTAACAACCAAAAGTTTAGAAGTACTTCTGGATTATAGAAGCGTTTTCTGGATATGAGGCTTATCCATGAAACACTTGGATTTCTTATAAAATTTTTAATATTTTTATTAAAAATAAATAAATAAATAAGTGCTTATAAGTAGAAGTGCTTCTTAGAGAAGCAATCCGAAACAAGTCCTTAGTCATGTGACAAAAAGAAAAGGAACAAACAGGGTGTATGTTCTCGGAAAGGCTATAATGAGGGCTTAAAGTGAGGAGGTTATTTGAGGAGGTCAAATCTCACCATCAACAAATGTAAAGAAATCATGGGACTTAAATATTTTAAATGTTTTGACGGTCGGATCGATCTCCTCAAATAACCTCCTCACTTTAACTCCTCATTGTAGAAGCTCCTGTATGTTCTTTTACCTCGCGATACACATTCTTTTGTACTTTCTTTAGCCCAAGTCCCCAAAAATTGGGCTAACACAGTGGGTCATTATTTGCTTGTACAAGCCCAAGGCAAAAGAGTAATTATATTGGTCTTATGGCAAGAACCATTCATTTGGGAATTGGGAAGATGAGGATTGAGATGGCCCACTGAGTGGTGCACAGACATCGGTGGTGAGCAGCTGATAGATAGATATATAGATTACTTGCAGATATATATACATATATATAATATATAAAAACTATAAACTCGCCAAAATTCATTTTTCACAGTAGTCAATAGCTCAATAGGGTTGTGAAATCGCCATAGCGAGCGAAGCGAGCGAGGATCTCTCTCTCTCTAACTTCTTCAAGTCTCGGAAGTATTCGCTTCTTTGCGTGTTCCGAAGGACCTCCTCTGCTTCACTCTTCCACTTCAATCTACCTCATCACATCAGGATCAGGTTCGAAAAATTCACACTTGCCCCAATCGCTTGTATACAATTTTGTATGTTGTTTCAGTTTTGATCTTCGATTGGTTTCTGATTGGTGATTGCTCTGTTTCTTGGTCGATTTAGGTGCTCCAATGGCTTCTGCGCAAAAGGATTTGCCTGCGGCTGGTATGCTGCTACGTTGTGTCACACTGCTAATTGTATTGGTTGTGTATTGATTTGAATTAGCAATTCATGTTTAGCTGGATTTCTGTAGTTCTGCTGAGTTTGATTGATCTGGAACCTATCTATATAGGAGCTGGATTGGGATTGGATATAGAACAGTGGGAATGGGATTGGGCTTAGGGGTTAATAGAGTGAGCTCTTCTTTTTCCTTTATTTTCAGGTTATAGAAAAAGCTTGGAGAGTTTAGTGTTTAATTTGTTTTGATTTCAAGTTTTGATCAAAGGATGCTTCCTACAGTAGCCTAGTGGAGGAAATTTTATGAATTGGTTTTTGATTCAGATTTATAGCTCCGAGGGTAGAGTTGAATGGTGATGCAATTTGTATGGTTTCATGTTTCTCACTTGCGTAGGGGAAATTGAGGGTTTTGTTGTACTAATGCCTATATTTCGCTTCATGAAAGTGATTATTGTCATAGAATATACTGTAGTTATCCTTATCGTGTTGTTAAAAATCTGGAGGAATATTTAAACTATATGATTCGGGGTTATGCCTGTTCTTAACACAGTACAAGTAAATTGGTTTCATTTAAATCTACTGTGTTTTGTTATAGTGGAGCTTGATAATTGGTTGGTTAGATAATTGTTTCATTGCGACTGGATGAAAATGGTGTCAAATACACGGACGTTAAGATTTTGAGTATGTGGTTCTCATGGTTATCTTATCTTTCCCAGGCGAAAAGCCAGTTTCAACAGAGAACAAAAGCTCCAAATCTGAAACAGAGGTCAAAAGTCCCAAGTCTGAAACTTCCTCTGGAGATTCACAGTCAGGACAAACAAGAGCTGCCCCTTTCCAACTTCCAGAAGCCGGATTTGCTGCTCCCAATCCTTTTGATTTCTCTGCCATGACTGGCTTGCTGAATGTATGTCACACTTTTATTGCCTTTTTGAGTTTTAAAAACATTTGAACGACTGAGTTGGGAATGAAGTAAAAGGAGTCCTTTCTTTGCATTATATATGAAGAATAAATTTTTGTAGGATAGAAGTTTCTTTTGATCAATTAGTAGTAAACAATATATATTTATTAAACTCTCCCTCATCCTCCCCCACTGCACATAGGCTTTCTCCCCGAAAAAAATTGAATTGTTTATAGAATGGGGGTAAGCTGGATGCTGGCAGACATCATGCCTCGATGGTAAATTGGGTGTTGGTGTGCCAACCCTGGGTCCAATGGCATGAAAAGCCTTAATGTCTGGGTGAGCCAAATTTGATGATGAGGAAAAAGTATTAAAATTTTGTCCAAAATTCAAGAGGCTAGTCAAAATGGAATTTTTTAAATTTTGGTCCCTTTATATAATGGCTCAAGTACTCATGTACCTTACACTTTCTTTTTGGTGTTATATTTATATGTTATTTTATTTTTGTTCTCACGAGTTGAGAGTATGAGTTCTGAAGTTCAGTCAGTCTCTGGTTTTTGCTAACAACTGTCCTATATGCGATATGCACAGGATCCAAGCATTAAGGAACTAGCTGAACAGATAGCAAAAGATCCTTCATTCAACCAGATGGCAGACCAACTTCAGAAAACTTTTCAAGGTGCAACAATTGACGAGGGTGTCCCTCAGTTTGATAGCCAACAATATTATTCCACCATGCAACAGGTTATGCAGAATCCTCAATTCATGACCATGGCTGAGCGCCTCGGTAATGCATTGATGCAGGTATGAATTCTTGTTTTATTCATCGTGTTATACAAGGAAGTTGCCTGGTCGGTAGAATTTCAATCTTATTAATTTTGCTACCCCAGGATCCGTCTATGAATACCATGCTCGAGAGTTTTGCAAATCCAACAAACAAAGATCAGCTTGAGGAACGTATGTCACGTATCAAAGAAGATCCTTCTTTGAAGCCTATTTTAGAAGAGATAGAGACTGGTGGTCCAGCTGCCATGATGAGGTAAGTAAAGCTAGTTTTTTTTTTATAGGATGGTTGAGCTATAACTTTTTCCGTCTTGGCACATGGTATTGGGGTTTTGTTTAACTGATTGTGGACTTTGGTTGAGCTAAAGAGGAAATTCTGCTGTTTCAGATACTGGAATGATAAAGAGGTTTTGCAGAAGTTGGGAGAAGCAATGGGTCTTGCAGTTCCAGGAGATGCAGCTACTTCTGCTGACAATTCTGGACCAGAAGAAGTAGAAGATGCTGGAAATGAGGATGAATCAATCGTTCATCACACTGCTAGTGTTGGTGATGTGGAGGTAGAACAAACCATTATCTGATCCTATCCTCTTCATGTGCCATTTGGTTGGTTCTAATTGTTAATAAGAAATTCTGCAATTGAAAAATGATTATGATTAATGGAAAATGTCGTTCTTTTAATTGAATCAGAAAATTATTCGCAAATCTTTACCAGGGTACCATAATACTCTCGAATCTGGAGAATCAGTCATCTTTCCTGGATAGTATTGCGGTACCCTGGTAAAGAGTTACATTATATTGTTTAAAACTTTTCTTTCAAACTCATGTTTTTCTACCGCAAACTTTTCATGTTAATTAGGCCTGTTAGTTTTGTTGGAGGGGTTTGAATTTTCAGTTGTACTATGAATTAGATATTTGCACTATTCTTATTACTTTAGAATTCTATATCAGGAAATATGCCTCCCTGGTAAACTTTAATTTGTATATTTTGTATGTGTTTGGTCCAAGTTATCAGATGTGCAAGTGTTTATGTTTTCACTCTGTCAATTAGGGTTTGAAAAGTGCCCTAGCCTCTGGTGCTGACAAGGATGAGGAAGATTCAGAAGGAAGGACAGCACTGCATTTTGCTTGTGGATATGGTGAGGTATGATAATCTTTATAAGTGTGGCTTACCCTGTCATTTTACTCACTTTGATCTGCGAAGCCAATAATTGTTATCATTGGGTGATGATGGACCTTCCGTGCATATGGGGTAGTCGTGCAGTTCCAATATGAGGTACTGCGAAAACCAATTTTTGGAAGAAATGCATGCATGAATAAAAAGGAGTCGGGGTGATAGAGTTCTATAAATGGTTTTCTGCTTTTGATATATGGAGGTATTTAGATACATATCATTTCATTTCATTGCAGGTGAAGTGTGCTCAAGTACTTCTTGAGGCTGGAGCAAGAGTGGATGCTCTGGATAAGAACAAGAACACGGCGCTTCATTATGCAGCCGGTTATGGCAGGAAGGAATGTGTGGCTCTTCTATTAGAGAATGGCGCTGCTGTGTAAGAGACACATTTGTTCCTTAATCTTTTAATTTCGAGCCATTCTATTACGCTTACTAGTACTTAAATCGTTTTGTTTTTGGCATCTCCAGCACTCTCCAGAACATGGATGGAAAGACTCCGATCGACGTTGCGAAGCTGAACAGCCAAAACGATGTGCTAAAGTTGCTCGAGAAGGATGCCTTCCTGTAATTTCATAAAAGTCATGGAGGCATATGCTGCAGTTCTGGGATGTTAGGCGTATGTCGGTTTGGGATTTTGGATCCAATCTGTGGCTTGGATCAGCAGCAGCTTGAGGAGATGTAATCAGCACCACAACTTTATGCTTTGTCCATGTTATCTTTTGCCTTTTCTGGTTCCTACATTGCTAGAATTTGTTTAACAACATAAACGTTTTGATGGCAGACATGGAATGTGTTGTGTGGCATATGACAAAGTAGCTTCATTATTAATTTATTACTTTTGCTATTTCATTTTACTTGTGGGTAAATAAATAATAATAATAATGAAAAGAATATTTTGGTATTGGTTACACATTTTCAGACTAATACTACCTCAACAAAGGCTTAGCCCTGTTTGTTGGCCTGGATTGGATTGGATTTCTCTAATTAAGGCCTGTTTGAGGGTGCTAAAAGCGCTTCTTAACAACTAAAGGCTTGTGGGAATGCTTTTGAAAGAGCTATGAACTCTTTCGGACAACTAAAAGCACTTATGATATTGCTTGCCAGAAAAACTTGATGGGTCACAAAGCGCTTTCTGAAGAAGCATTTGATTTTCTAACTCTTAAGTGCAGTTTTAATTAATTTTTGACGTTCTTCTAAATTCTAGTACAACTTAAAAGGCGTTTATGAATAAAAGTGATTCTACAAAAGCATTTTCAAATTCCAAATGATATAAAACAAGAGAAAATTGAAAGATCTTCTCCTCTCTCTATTTTTTGGGTGAATGATAGAAAGATCTGCTTTTGGCATATTGATTTTGGATGTGCCTTGCTATCAATTAATGCCCAAACAATGAGAGCCCAGATTTGGATGGGGCTGCCTTATACATTGGGGGAGTGGGTGTTTCTTGTCTGTGATGTAATTTTGATTAAGAGGCAAATTTTGGCTAACGTTTTATTTTTCAATATTTGCCTTCTTCTCTTTTATTTATAATAGATTTTTGTCTCGCCCATACGTGTGTGTGTGCCAACAGACTTTTCTTTTATCCTTATCTAAAAGATTTTTTGTATTTTTTACTCAAATAAGATATATTTTTTTTATTGGACATGAAGTCTTATTTCCTTTTTCTAAGTAATTTATATTGTAATAGATTATTGTTTTGCGTATTTGTCCATTAAATTGAGTATTGGTCTTTTGGGACATTTTAGAAAAAGCAAAAGGAGAGAGAAAAATTTTAAAAGAAGAAAAAATGGACAAAAATGCCCTTATTTATTTTTAGATTTCCTAAGGAATCCAATACATTTGCATGTCTTTGATTTGAAAGTTGAACGATTTTTTTGTCTTTTTTGAAAAAGCTTTGGCTTTTTTCAAAAGTGAAAATATTTTTATGTCTAAAACCTAAAAAACCTTTTTTGTCTTAAACGAGTTAGGTTATGTGAAAACAATTTGAAACATCAGGGGATGTTCGTGTAATATCTAAAACCTCAAAGAATTTATGAAAACACCGAAAATCTTAGGGAATCTTAGTATAAATAACTCCAAAAATAATTCAAAAATAGGTGTAATTCTCTGTGTATGTAGTAAATGAGAAAGCATTTCTAGAAAGTATATACTATAAATATGCTCTTAATAAATGAGATTATTTTATATGAATTTGGCATGTGAGTCGAGTCGGTGGTGCTAGGCTGCTGAAAACGGTCCACTCCCTTTTCTGGCTTACAGCAATTCACACCTTTTGTTTTATTTATTTATCAAACACAACAATTCACCTAAAATCAATCTAAATTCTTCACAATGATTGAGGAGAAAAGACAGGCAACCGGATAAGGTGGTTTGTTTTTTTCTTAATTGTTTGGCTGGCAAATCAACTCTTCACCAATTTATTTATTTATTGCTTGCATACTGAAAAAGAGCTTTAAAATGTGAATAAAAAGGAGTATTTAAAATTTTCTTTTTCATAATGAAACTGATGAAAATGATATCCAATCGAAAGCAGGTTTTTTTTGGGCTTGATTTGTTTTTCTGAATAAATATTTATTTATCGGCCTTGATTGAATAATTCACTGGCTTCATGCATTCTTATAAATAGTATAAAGTTAAAAAAGCACCTACTAGTGTAGTTATTTGGAGTAATTGCTTCATCAGACAAAGTCCTGGATCAGTGGCGAAGCCAAGACTTTATGTGTGTGGAGGCATCTCACAAAATATAAACAATAAAAAATTCGAACTCAAGACATACCAAAACATCAAAAATAATATTGTCTATTCATTACAATCATAATTTTGACCCAAAAAAATATCATTACAATTCATAATTGTCCTTGACAAGTTTTCATATTTTGAAATCGTTGCACAACAACCATGTTATATGTACTATTAAAAATGTTTTTCTCAATATATGCAACCAAGCAATCATTCATCTATGGATTAACCTAATTTTAAAACGTGATAATATAATATTGAGTTTGAGAGAAAAACTCACAAACAATGAGAAAATTTGCTTATGCCAAGAAATAGAAAAATGGATTAAAATCTCTTTGCTTTTTAGCAATTTGTGTACAAAGGTAATATTTGTGTTAAAAGGTAATAATAATAGTTGGCTTAATTATGTACATGCCCCCTGTGCTTTCAAACTTATCTCAAATTACCACATGTGTTTGTAAACGTCTCAAAGTACCCCCCAACCTTTTAAAAACCGTCTCACGTTACCCGTTCCGTCAGTTTTTTTGACGTTCCATTAAGTTTTTGTTACTGTTCGAGAACAGCAGTCCCTCCTCATTCGAGAACAACAACCCCTCCCCTTTGTTACTGTTCATCCGAACAGTTTTTGGGCCGCCATCTCCTCCTCCGGCCAACCTAAGCGACGGAATGGGTATCAAAAGAACCAGCACGTTGTCCTCTACCAGCCTCACATCTCAGCCGCTGCCAACCGCCATCTGGATCGCCGGAACAAGCAAGAAATTGACCAATTTTTACCCAAAATCTTCATATATCATTCGGGCAATTCCGAGCACCATTTGCTTCAATCCATGTATGGTTTTTCAACCTCTTGAGCTGTTCTTGCTGCTAGTTGTGTTGGTTATGAGAAATTTCTGAGTTTTGGAGAGTAAATAAGCAATTGAAAATCTGCCAGTTGGAGAGGGGCTGCTGTTCTCGAATGGGAGGGAGGAGGAGGAAAAAAAAAAAAAAAAAAAAAAAAAAAAGAAAAGAGGGGGGGGCCAACGTTCGTAACGGAACGTCAAAAAACTGACGGAACAGGTAATGTGAGACGGTTTTTAAAAGGTTGGGGGGTACTTTGAGACGTTTGCAAATACATGTGGTAATATGAGATAAGTTTGAAAGCACAGGTGATATGTACATAATTAAGCCATAATAGTTTTATTAAAACTTTTGGGAATGTGTTTGCAAAAGAAGGTGTAGTCTTGGAGGAAACGTAGCTTTGGCTGGCTAGGGCCCCATGTGGTAAAATAAATATGTTAATTAATATGGGTTATCCAACAACAACATACTACTTTTTTTAATTATAATAAAAACTTAGTGGGGGCCTAGGACTGCATTAGTCTCAACGTGGCTCCACTCCTGTCCAGAATTCGAGTCCTATCATCCGTCTAGTATATGTAAGTTTAATATATCATCGCCGCTCGTAATAATAAAAATATCCTATAAATAGATAAGTAAACGGTACAAAATTAATATAGTTGGGTTGGGTTTTATCTAGCGTACCGGCTTTCAAGCCTATAATTATTAATTATTGGGTTTCTTTCTATCAGCTGACCTGTTAAGCCGCCTCCACATGTTGCACAAAATTTTGGGTTTCAATGGAACAAGCTAACACATGAATTTATTATTAAAACATTTTGGGTGATTCTATTGTGTACGATTGACATGTATTTAGATGTTAAATCTATTGTAATCAGCTGTGTGATTTAAATAATGACTGGTTTATGAACGGCAATATCTCCTCTCGAGATAGATGTTACGGTGAATCAACTATATAACATGTGCTTATGTTATTTATTGTGAACCTAAACATAGAATAGGCGGTAGAGATGATCATGTAGCACCTTAACATGCATAAGTCTAGAAATAGTGACGTCCACTGCTGCAATTTTGAGCTCATGACGAATGGGTTTAAATTACTTCGAAACAACGAGCCGAATCAAACTCACTATTTCGCCGTGATGTATATGACCACATTTGCGTATCTTCTTTTTTTGTTATCAAAGTTAAAAAGAAAGATGAAGCTTTTCTCGGACACGCCCGACATTATTAACCTGTAAATCAAGACTCCTTTTTCATTGAACTAGACCCCGTCAACCATATGCCTAATTGAATCTATCATTCCTCTCCCCCTCTATGGAAGTCTCCTCGGTAGTGAAGACAAAAAAGAAAAGAGAAATAATAAGACGCGGAGTCAAACATACATAGTTGGGTTGTTAAAATAGTATAATTGAAGACTTTGTTGACAATGGGAATGATTTCCAACTGATATTGCAAAGCTGCCAGATAATTTTAGGCCCTCAAAAACATGGTGCCGGGTCAAACGAGTTAAAGAGAAATAATAAATGGGGACTTTTCGGGATTGTGAAGGAGAATTTCGAAACATAAGAGAAAGTTCGTAGGTTGCTTCCAATTTCTCACTTCGGACTAATTGTGTGTTTCATTATAATTTTTCTCGCATCTGTCTGTTCATGCATGTTGCATTGCCTTCATTCAACCCAAAATTAAAAAAACAAAAAGAATTAAACGCGTGAGTAAGCATTTGGCAAAGCACAGGAAACGTAAAGGCAAATTCTGGAGTGTCTCCTTTAATCATGCTTAAACTCGTATTTAATTAACACTTCACTTTTATTTAAATCTTATTATGCTTTGGTAAAAGAAAAAGGTGAAACAGTGAAAAAGAGAGTTGAGGGTGTAAGTAAAACGTTGGGAAAAAAAGGAAACATTCAGATGAGGTAAATATAAAAATCACTTTAAATTATTCGAGTGCAAGATTTGGAGACAAAAAATCCACATAAATTAGAACAATCTAGTCAAGTAAAAATTAGTCCATCCTATCTTAGTAACTCTCAAAACGAAACCGAGCCGGCCATTTTTATAGGACACGTTTAAACTTTCTTCTCTTTGAATAAAAATGAATGAAACTTTACTTAGATCTTGTTCTGTATAAAAATTCTTGATTCTCATTACATGTATTCAGAATCGCAAATTAAATGGAGTGAATCTTGAAGTTTTTCTTGTTACTATAACAAAATTTACCAAAGTTGGAATAAGATTGGGAAAGGAGAAGGGAGGTAAATCCTATCAAGCCCGCTTACTTAGAGATCAATAATTACAAGATTGATATCTATTAATTGTAATGGAGGGGGAGGCTATGAGGGTAACATGCTGGCTGCCGAGAGAGAAAACAAAGGCAAAAAAAAAAAAAAAAAAAAAAAGAAAAAAAAAAGGAAAAAAAAAAAAAAGGAAAAGAAAGCAAACAGCCAATATAGCCCTATAGCCTTCTCCTTTGTCTTTTACATTGGGTTTTTGCCTTTGTATATGTTTATATAACTCAAAAAACTCTTGCTGGCTCTCAGAGGGAGGTGAGTGACTTCTGCAGCCTGCAACTCTGTCTGCTTTGGTTGTCCACCTCTCTTCATATTGTTGCATAAACAAAGAAAAAAAAAACAGAAAAACGGTTTGTTGATTTGAGCTTGGATCTGAGAAAAAAAATGGAGAAGGAAAAGAAGTCTCCAGTTTCTGATGTAGGAGCATGGGGTATGAATATTGTGAGCTCTGTCGGCATTATCATGGCCAACAAGCAGCTCATGTCCCCTCACGGCTTTGCTTTTGGCTTTGGTCAGTTCCTCTTCTTCTTCTTCTTCTGTAATTTTGACTATATTGAGACTGCATCAATTTGCTCTGTTTGCTCTATCTTCTTCTTCCAACTTCAGATCTGGAGTAGAAGTATCTTCTGATGGGTTTATAGTATTTTCCTTGTTTTCTTTCAATGAATTTTGGGTTTCCTTTATCTTCCTTGAATTGTTCTTCATCAGTTTTATCTGCTTTTATGACCCAAATTGGGGTAAAGAACATTGAATTGTTGCAGATGCTATAATCCTGAGGATGAACCGCATTGAATTATTATTTTTGGACTCATGTTTGACAAGGAGCCAAAATTCAACTAGATTTCAATATAATATGACGTGCGCTTGGACCATTATTTGCCACTTATGGCATTTACTGTTATGGCTAGCCTTTTCTGACCAGAGGTTCGGATCTAGAGAGAAATGAGAGGGGTTGAGTCTCCATTGGTCTGCCCATTAACTCGGCTGAGGCTGGGGCAAAGTACCTAGGGTGAGGTGCAAAGTAGATAAGGTGGGGGGCAAAGTGTTTGTTAAAATGCCTCAAAGAACTTAGGCAAGCAAGCAGCTGGTAGTCGGGCGATGTGGGCTTTTTCTCCTGGATCCTTCAGTGTTTGTCATCATTCCCTGTAGATCTAGCTACATTTTAAAAGAAATTAGGATTTCGTATAATTATGCTTGGATTATGACCTAGATTTGTAAGGTGATCTCATTAGATGTGTTTGCAAGACCGTAATTGAACTCTTTGGTAAATCGGTTTCCTGCAATTGATAATAGTATATTTTTCTCTCCAGCCACAACTTTGACTGGCTTCCACTTCTCTGTTACCGCGTTGGTTGGTCTGGTGTCAAATGCCACTGGTTACTCTGCATCAAAGCATGTTCCTTTGTGGGAACTTGTTTGGTTCTCACTTGTAGCCAATGCTTCAATCACTGGGATGAACTTGAGTCTCATGCTCAACTCTGTTGGATTTTATCAGGTGAATATCATTCTGTTAGCATGACCATTTCCTTTGCCGCACAATTACCTTCTCAGATCTGACCTTGTTCATTGGTATTATGGTGTAGATATCGAAGCTGAGCATGATTCCCGTGGTATGCATGATGGAATGGATTATTCATGGAAAACATTTTTCAAGGGAGGTCAAGATGGCTGTGGCAGTGGTGGTTGTAGGTGTGGGAATATGTACAGTGACTGACGTGAAAGTTAATGCCAAAGGTTTCCTCTGTGCTTGTGTGGCTATCTTGTGTACATCCTTACAACAAATTGTGAGCATTTCTCAATTTTCTCCTTATAAGTTATATTTACTATGAATCTGAGATCAGGCATAAAAACCTTGAGATAATTGTTCGTCTCTGACATTCTTGTTGTTTGAGGAACAGTCAATAGGTTCCTTACAGAAGAAATACTCAATAGGCTCTTTCGAATTGCTTAGCAAGACAGCTCCAATCCAAGCTCTCTCCCTTCTTGTTCTTGGTCCATTCGTTGATTACTTTCTTACTGGAAAACTTATATCAGAGTACAAGTTGTCTTCTGGTGCATTTGTAAGTGCTTCTTCTTTTATCTGAACTGCAATCGCCGTGTTTATGAGGAAACAAATTTCTAATGAAGCTTCTGTCCAATTGCAGTTTTTCATACTACTCTCATGCTCCCTAGCCGTATTTTGCAACATCAGTCAGTACCTCTGCATCGGACGCTTCTCAGCAGTCTCGTTCCAGGTTTTAGGCCACATGAAAACAGTATGTGTCCTGACATTGGGGTGGCTACTCTTTGATTCAGAGCTCACATTCAAAAACTTGCTCGGAATGGCTCTTGCGGTTCTTGGCATGATAGTATACAGTTGGGCTGTGGAGGCTGAGAAGCAACCCAAGATCCTCCCTAGTACAAGAGACAGTCTGTCAGAGGAGGACCTGAAACCATTGAAGGAGGGAATAGCAGAGAGTCCATTGAAAGACACAGAGCTTGGCGAGTCTAAAGTATAGACTTACCATAGGGCAAAAAGCTTTTTCTTGGACTCATCTTATGCCCCTGCAAGATATGAGAAAGTACATGTTTTGACATTCATCTGCTCATGCAGCAGAGTCTTACAATCTAATTCTATTTATTCACAAAATATGTTCAATTTTTTTTATATCTATTTATTTTGTCAGAAAGCAATTAATAATGAATTTTAGGCTGAACCAGTTGTTGATGGTTGTAAAATATTTGTATATCCATTTCAGTGTTGAGAAAAAGTACAATTAATTAATGCTTTATTTATTTTTTCATTGTGTTGTAGGCTTGTAGCCAATATTTGGAGTAATATTAGTGAATGGGTGGAAATGCATTGTGTTTTAGACCTTTTGTTGTATCCAATTATTATTCGGTGGATATTTATATATACTGTGTGCATTAGCAATATTTTCCATGTTAGAAATCAGCAAAACCGTTATTTTCTTTCCCCCACTTTCTCGGCCACCAAACAAGTTGATTAAGAAAAGCTCCTAGGAGTATAATTCATTTTTTTTATAAGGGGAAAATTGCATAACCGCCATTTTCGGTTGAACTATATAAAGACTTTCTATAAAAATTAATTTGGTAGATCTACTTGAAAAGGCAATAAGTTTTGTAACTAGGGGCTTCAAATATGAATCACTTGAGATTAGTAACATGGAGGTAATGAGTTACGATTAAGATACGATTAGGTTCGGTTTCCTCTAATGTAATTTTAAATGTTAGTAAAAACTAACTGTTAATTATAAAACAATTCGGAAACACCAAACAAGTGATTGTGCGGTCCACAAACTTGAGATACATAAAATTAAAAAATAAATAAAAAAAACTCCACGATCGGGTTAGGTAAAACTAGAAACATGACATGAAATGATTCCCAATTAGGCCCAAAAGTTTTCAAGACCTAATATTATTACAGAGATTGAATTTTTATTTTTATTTTTAAAATTTTTGCTAAGAAAAAGGAAATTGCAAGTTCTTTCCTCTTCTGTATGCAAAATCAATTAATTGTCTTTTTCCCTTCCACTTCAGACCCTTTTTGAGATCCCAATATAAATTTTACTATGTGTGAATATGGAAGAGTAACATATTATTGATCAAAGAATTCATGCGTTTTTGTTTTGCATTCGTTTAACGCCTTTGAGAAATTCCACCCAAATCTGCAGAGCCTTGGCACTCTGTCTGCTCTGGTTGATTGGCTTGGAATTTGTAAAAAATGGAGAAGGAGAAGAAGTCTTCAGTGTCTGATGTAGGAGCGTGGGGCATGAACATTGTGAGCTCTGTGGGAATTATCATGGCCAACAAGCAGCTCATGTCCCCCCATGGCTTTGGCTTTGGCTTTGGTAAGTTCCTCTTCTTCTTCTTCTTTTAACTGTACTGTGTTTTCTTTTAATTTCAGATCTGAAGTAGACATATTTTTTTTCATGATTCACATTCACTTCTTCTCACCATTGATGGGTTTAAAGTATTTTGCTTTGTTATGAATTTTGGGTTCCGTTTTCAACCCTGAATATTGGGTTCCTCTCTAATTTCCTGAGTTCATTTTCGTCTGTTTTGTCTAATTTTATGACCTGAATTGGGGTAAAGTTCCATTCTTGCAGATGCCTTATTTTTTTTGGTTTTTTTTTAATGTATTTTTAATTTATTGTTTCTGACATAAAGAGCCAAAATTCAACTAGATTCCAATATAATAATATCCCATGTGCGCTTGGACCATTATTTGCCACTCATGGAATTTTCTGTCATGCGTATAGCCCTTTTTTTGACCTGTCATCATTGCCTGTAGATCTGAGCTACATTTCAAAAGAAATTAAAATTCAACATAATTAGGCTTGGATTATGACCTGATGCATATGGTGATCTCATTAAAGGTGTTTGCAAGCAAAAAAAACTTACTTGTAACGAGGAAAAGTTATTGTATGTGTCATTGTGTTTTTGGTAGGGGATGACAAAAATTGTTATCCCCGTTTCACGAGAGTTTCTCTCGTTTGCAAGAGCATGCCTATGTCACAACACACAGATAAACTGAATTCTTTGGTAAATTGATTTCCTGCAATTGATGAAAGTGTATTTTTTTACTCCAGCTACAACTTTGACTGGCTTCCATTTCTCTGTTACTGCATTGGTTGGTTTGGTGTCAAATGCCACTGGCTACTCTGCTTCAAAGCATGTTCCTTTGTGGGAACTTGTTTGGTTCTCACTTGTAGCCAATGCCTCAATCACTGGGATGAACTTGAGCCTCATGCTTAACTCTGTTGGATTTTATCAGGTGAATAACATTTTAATAGCCTAACCATTTTGCTTGAGGCAGAGTTGCCATCTGAGTTCAGACCTTGTTCTATGGTATTATCGTGTAGATATCGAAGTTGAGCATGATTCCCGTGGTATGCGTGCTGGAATGGATTCTTCATGGAAAACATTTTGCAAGGGAAGTCAAGTTGGCTGTGGGAGTGGTGGTTGTAGGTGTGGGAATATGTACAGTGACTGACGTGAAAGTTAATGCCAAAGGTTTCCTCTGTGCTTGTGTGGCTATCTTGTGCACATCCTTACAACAAATTGTGAGCACTACTTAATTTTTCTCATGAATTATTTGTACTATGAATCTGAGGGTAGGCATAAAAACCTTGAAATAATGGTTGACCTCTTACACTCTTGTTGTTTGAGGAACAGTCAATAGGTTCCTTGCAGAAGAAGTATTCGATAGGCTCTTTTGAATTGCTCAGCAAGACAGCTCCAATACAAGCTGTCTCCCTTCTTGTTTTTGGTCCGTTCTTCGATTATTATCTTACTGGAAAAGTTCTATTGGAGTATAAGTTGTCTTCTAGTGCACTTGTAAGTGCTTCTTATGTATATTAATCTGCAATTTCTGAGTTTGTAGAAACAAAATTCTAATGAAGCTTTTGTGGAATGCAGTTTTTCATACTACTCTCCTGCTCCTTAGCAGTATTCTGCAACATCAGCCAGTACCTCTGTATCGGACGCTTCTCAGCTGTCTCATTCCAGGTTTTAGGTCACATGAAAACAGTATGTATCCTGACGTTGGGGTGGCTACTCTTTGATTCGGAGCTCACACTTAAAAACTTGCTTGGAATGGCTCTTGCTGTTCTTGGCATGGTAGTATACAGTTGGGCTGTGGAGCAACCCAAGACCCTCCCTATTACAAGAGACAGTCTGTCAGAAGAGGATCTGAAACCATTGAAGGAGGGAATGACAGAGAGTCCATTGAACGACGCGGAGCTTCGCGAGTCTAAAGTGTAGACTCACCATTATCGGACTCAATTTGTTTTACCTTCATTCGATGCCCCAGCAAGATATGAGATAAGCACAGGTTTTGGCATTCATCTGTTCATTCGGCACAGGCTTTCCGTCATCTGATTCTATTTTTTCACGAAATATGCTCAATTTTTGGTCTCTATTTATGTTGTCTGAAAGGAATTAATAATGAAGTTTAGGCTGAACCATTTGTTGATGGTTGTAGAATACTTGTATATGCATTTCAGTATCAGTACTTAGAAAAAGTTCAATTAATGAATGCTTTATATTTCTTTTTTCACTGTAGCAAAACCATTTTCCTCCCTTTTCCCACATTTTCTCGTTCACCAAACAAGTTGATTCTGTGAAGATACTGGGGGCTTTGCCACTGACAATATAATATTTCAGCCAATTTAAAGATGAAAACTGACCTAATCAATTTTGCACTTGCCAGTCTTCGCCCTTTAACATGAGTTCGTCACTGGTCAGTGTCCAATTAGTTATGAAATTTGCCCGACACTCAGCTGTCTAAATTCTTTATTGGTCTAAAAGTAACAAATAAATCAATAAACAAATAAAAGAGTCTCACTGTTATTATTTTATCACTTTGTCAAAATCACTTTGCGGCTTTTTTTTTTGGGAAATCACTTTGCGGCTTTGCTTGCAGTCGCATTGTTGATCACATCTCTTAATAAACACAAAAAAGATAAGAAGATAAATCCGTGTGGAAGTCATTTAAATAAATAGATTTAAGAGAAATGTAATGTGGTGTACAAATCAAAGTTACATGCCATTTGTATCCATGGCATGTTTTTGGTGTCGAGTAGAAAAGCTTATTTGTGAAAATGGGAATTGCCCATTTCATCTGCACTGATGGTGCCCCTTTCTGGATGCTCATTTAGTTGTGAAATCACCATTATTGGTGAGAGAATATTGCAAGAAAGAAACACTATCTCTATCCTCTGCAACACTCTGCATGGGCTCTTAGCTTGATCCAAGAAAAGACAGAGGAACTTGATAAGGTACAGGGGTAAGTGTATGTATTTCTTTTATGCTGTTCATTAGAAAAACAACTTTGCAACTTGCTATTTCTTGCTTGCTTAACCTAATCTCAGAGAAAGAGTAATTAAAAATAGAAATTTGATTATGATATCTAATCCAATTACTTCAACCTTTTACAAGAAATGTACTAGATTCATGCACTGAAAAGTTGCAATGGAGAACAAGTAAGGCTAGAGTTACATTCCACTTTCAATCAACAGAGAAGAAAGAGACAACGATGAAGTGGATAGCAAGTTTAGATTTTAGATTGTCAACTTCTGAAAAGAGATAAAAACGTGCACAGAGAGAAAGGTATGAATTGATGAGAGATTGAGAAGGAAGCTTTTAGGAGATAAAGGTATCCAAAAAGAATTGGAATGATTTCTTATCAGATATCTCGACATACTATGTTGTCAAACTGTAAATCGTAACTGCATGTTATACGTTATTCGATATAATCTGAGGTCCTAATAATCATAGTGTGTGAATATAACATGTTAAATTACTGACAAGAAAAACTGACCATATCTAAACACAATAATAAGGGATTATGTACGCAAATATTACTCTGCATATTGTTTTTTTTCGTTTTATTGTTTTTTTTTGTGATGAGATTCTCCATAGTGAAAAGGTGGACAAATAAATGTCAACAAGGGGTTTTAATAATCCCTATCCCAATTGTACTTAAATTTGATTC